TTACATTAGACACAATGTTATAAATGCATATGTGTGTATGTGTGAGTTTATTTATTTATTGTATCATTAAAGTGTAGTGTATATTGAGAAACAACCGATAGAGTAGGTAATTGATTTGACGCTATATTATTTAAACCCAACTAAATGCTAAATTGTACATTCCGAAATAACAATCATATTATGTCAATTGCCACCGGAATATCTGGTAATATTTTTCTTTTTCTTTGCCTTAATCCCAACTACTTGGGGTCGGGCACCCTTATCCTAAGCTTCCACTTGACACGATCTCCCACATCTTCTACGCTCACATCAGCTGTCCTCAAATCGCATTCAATAGCATCCCTCCATCTCTTTTTTGGTCTTCCTCTATCTCTTCTTCCTTCAACATTCATTTCTATAACTGTTCTTACAGCTTTCGATTCTTCTTTCCTCATACCATGACTAAACAATCTAAGTCTATTTTCTGTCATCTTATCCACGATTGACGCAACACCTATACTTCCTCTTATATGCTCGTTCCTTATCCTATCTTCTCTAGTCACTCCACTCATCCAACTAAGCATTCTCATCTCTGCTACACTTATTCTCTGCTCTACTTTCTTATCAACCGCCCAACACTATGAACCATACATCATAGCTGGCCTCACAATTTCATACTAAATTTAAAAACTATAATTAGTATTTATTCATATATTATATTTTAAAATCAAAGAACTACTAATCAGGATATAATTAAAGAAATAAGAGTTCATGTTGCTTTTAAAATATTTCACCAATTTCTCTAAAGGAAACACTATCTACAGATTTGCATCGAAGCGTTTCTTATGATAGTGATTTTAATCACTGTCAGATATCATCTATACTTATCTCATCTATGCCACGTCTATACTGTGCCTCGACCCCACTGTGCTACCGTTTTTTTATATTATAAATTTTCAAAAAATCAACTTTAAAATACCAAAAAAATAGGTTTAAAATGATATCTTGCACTGATTATTTTTTAAATATTAAAATCTAAATCTGTAATAATTTAAAAACAATTGTTTGTGTTTTTAATTCTTTTTTTATCGTAATAAATCATTTCAAAAATAATATTAATAATTTCTATGTAATTCTTGGTAATTTAATAGATGATACAATTGAAATATTCAGAATTATTTTTCTTATAAGTTATGTCCTAGTTTTTAAATAATTAGTAATAATATCAAAAATTATTGATGATATATAGGAACATATAGTTCCTGATTTGAAATTAGTACGAAAAAGACATAGTAGACAACTACTAAAGGAAATAAAGATAAGTGCGAATATTTATTTGCGTGTTTTACTTTTAAAAATTCATATAATAAACAAGAATAAGAATAAGTGAGATAAGGATATTTTATTATTTGATTATTCAATATAGTTCGACCCCGATGTACTCTTTAACTCCATACACCCTTTCCACTTTTTTTAATTATTTAATTTTTATTTATTTCATCTGTATTGCATCTAGAACTTCAATCTCTTGGTAGCTCGTGGTTGTGCAAGGCAAAACTAAGCCCTTTTATATTATTTTTAATTACTCCTATCTTAGATATTGATGTCGGCGCTTTTAGTGATTTTCAGTTTGTGTTACAGTGAACATAATATGATTATTATTTTAAAATAAGATACATAGTTTACAATGAACAATTTAACACGTATATTCATTTATAACACTAGTGTACGAGTTTAAATGTTATGACTGATATATTAATTATTTGGTTGTATACAAGTAATATAAAATACAAATTATAAATTGTCCATGATAAATGTAAGATGCGTAATGTAAAGTATTGGGCGTATCAAGACAATTACTGCACTTTTAAGTATCAGGTTAGAATTGTATTATTAATCTTTTTCGAGTGATAGACACTACCGAGTGAATACTACCGAACTATTTAATAGTCTAAAACTATCAATTCATCCAGTTGTTTTCAAAAATTATCGAAAGAAATAAATGTTTTTCGTTAATATTAGTTATCGAAAAATCGACACCAAACTACAGGTTGTCGAAAGTGATGGACAATTTAAATTGATTAACTGAATCACTAATTTTGTCAAGTTCACTGAATATAAAATTACTTTACCGATTTATTTTAAAGGATGCCTTTAGGATGATGTTTCATACACAACTCCTAACATAAGTTTATATTTTTCTATAACGGCATCTAGTGAATAATATTTCAAGTATATTATCGAATGAGTTCTTATCTTTTTTAAACGCAAACTAGTTTTTAATGATAACTGATAACATGACTTGTGAAAATTCAATTTTCATTGGCACACGACTATTCATGCATAATTAATAGAGATAAAAGAAGAATTTAATGAAAAATCTAACTTCGTGTTTAAAATTTAATTCATTACTTATATTAATACTTCTATGTTTTTTGTAACACCGTTAAATTTCAATGTAAAAGAATATTCGATTGGCTCAATGACAGTTTGTCTTCTTATCAAATATAAATTGAAATCGCTTTTAATTCTTTCTTTTACATATGAGTTTCTTTTTAATTCCGAGTTCTTATGGAATACTATATTTTCTATTCATCAGTTGTGCTTTTAAGTAAGTTACGTATAATTTCTTATAAAATATATTGGCGCAAGTCATTTTTAGTAAAAAATAATTATATTAATAAATAATATTAAAATAAATAATATTTAGAAAAATAATTGAGTTCAAATGTTTAAGTTTAAGTTTCATAAATGAAACTAATAATAAAATTAACAAATCGCAGGATTAAAATGTAATCATACATACGTGTTTCTACTAAATATTTTGAACTAATATTTATGTTTATAAACAATTATAATTGTTATATTTTTTATCAGTAATTATGATTTTTTTTAAAGAAATATATCATCTTACTTATTATATTGTATTTATATTATAATTGTGTCTTTTTCAATTAAATTGATTTATGATTAGCATAAGTGTTTTAAATTAACTATCCAATACATTCTATATTAATTGTAAAATTATTAGCTTCAATGCAAAGTTGAGAAGGTATTGGTTTTGTGATGGTAGTGTGCCATAAAATTTTTCAGAACTTGTTGGGATAATCTTATTTATTTATGTATCAATATAACCTATTTTTAATATCTAGGTATAACCATTATCACCTAATATATGACAAAAATGGCTCGCTTTTAAAAATTCTATAAAATACCTCATTATTAAAATACCATAAAAAATTACATTTTCAAAATTTCTTTTTTGAATTTTAAAACTGCTAAAGTTTTTTTTAAAACACTGATCTTAATGGTATTTTAATAGAATTTACTAGAGACAATAAGCATTCTTATGATATGCTTTTTATAATTATCTAATGAAAAACCTAAGTATAGGATGAGTTTAAAAAATAATATTAAAACACAAGACTTAAAAATGTTTTCTATTCAATTTTTGAACATTTTCTGAAATGTTTGACAATTTTTCACTTACATCAAAATTGAGCTCTTGAAATATACTACAATATTAAAAAAAGGTTTGTCCTGACAATTGTTGTACTATGAGAAATCAACTCATTTTCTATGAGTTATTTGATTTTAAAATGTTCTGTTTCAATATTTAATTTAACAGATTCACATCCAATTTTATTTTTTGATAATGATATTAATTACTGTCAGATATCATCTATATTTATATCAACTATGCTAATTTTTTTATTATTTTTATGTTTTATGAATATATTTTTTTTTAAAGAATGAAATTATGTAAATACATATTATTATAAATGAAATAACATAAAATATACTTGGTATAAATGAATTTCCACTAATCAAATAATGTTTAAAATTATTATACAAACTAAAAAATGTATTTTTTAGGTCAGTTATATTAGATATTGAAAATGATAATATTCTAAATAATGAACATGTCACAGATAACTCAAATAACACATCATCAATATTTGTACTTAAAGTAAGAAAATATACAGATTGTACTTTTGATTAAATAACTCAATTTTATCATTCGATAATTTCCTCTTTTCGATTAATAGACTAATTGATGATTTTCTACTTGCTTTTAATAAAGCCTAAAAATAAAATTGAGTACAAAAAAGTTAAATTTTGCTTAGAATATTTATTTTAATAATTTATTTGCTTAAATATTCTTAGGTTAATGAACATAGTAGTTTGAAGAAATCACACAATTACAAGCAAAGTTGGAAAAATGTCTTGAGTACATTAAATACATGTAACAAAGATGTCTACCTACCTGATTTATTAACTACTAATGAAATTGATAAAAAGTAAGATTTAAAAAAATTTACTATTTCAAAATTTTTGTTAATGTAAGTCGAATGATTAAAAATCTTAAATATAACATTATTAGAAGTCACCAAACTTCACTGTAACTAGATAGTACTATTGAGAACATAATGTAAAGTTACTTAAAATATAATAATTGGAATATTTATTTTAGACTTTACATGATACAAATTTTATCATTAGCACTATACTTTCTAAGACATATTTACACCATATTTCTATTTAGCTTGAAATCTGTTAAAACCTAACATTGATGTGGGATTCGACAAAAATATGTTTTATAGTTAATTTTTTAGCTTTGATGCAAAGCTGAGAAGGTATTAATTTTACTATATGTTTTTTTTTTTTTATTGCGCCACTTTCTCTGCTCTTATTAAACTGATTTCTTTTAACCATACGTTAAAAGATCATAAATTGTATCTAGTTGAAGACTTTGTCTTTGAAAATTGAAAAAAATTTCTCCCATTCCTTGTAAACGGCGAAAATTCCCAAAAATTACGATTTTGAAAATATGTGAATTATGATTTTTCACTTTCTTTTGTTAAAATTGCTATAATTTTTTTATTTATTGAAACCTTAGAGATTTCCCTTTCATTTGTTATTATATTTTTAAAAATTTGACACTAAATCTGCTTACGGGAGCATTAAAAAAACAACTTTTTTACAAAAGTCATTCTTTTCAATTTACTTTTTGAAAATGTTCCACAAAAACTACGTCTTTTAAATATATGTTAAATTAAAGCTTATGTTACGTACTATAAATTAAAAAAAATATTTGTCCTGACAACTTATGGTCTATGTGCAAATGGCTGCCGTAGTTAAAAATATGTTATTTTTGTATTCATTTTTTTTTTTTTTATTATTAAAATACCTATATAAGGGTTTGTCATGGTAATAAGTCCATACATTTTTATAAAATTTACATAAATCTATCTTACATTAAGTATAAATTTAAATTTTTTGATTATTTTACCCTATCAATGTTAAGGAAAGTGATCGTGAATTTTTAAACTAGCTTAAGTAGTTCTTTTTATCTACTTATTAATGTGCTACTACTTATCTACTTATCAGTGACTGCTTTGTATATTATACAGTCTTATAAGCTTGGGGTATGAATTTCTAACCTCGCCAGTCAAAATAACTTTTTTCGCATTTATTCTTAATTTTTTTTTAGGTGGGAAAAATAATAACAATAATAAATATTATTCGAATAATATCAAGAACCTTATCAATATATAGTCTCTCATTGTAAAAAGGAATTTCTTATTCCTATTAAAATATTTTTTTATATGGTTTTTGTGTCTGTCATTCATTTATTTCAGCTCTTACTTTACTAATTTTAATGACCAATACATCAAATATATATGATTTTAATCATGGTGAACTTATAATCATCAAACATTGGAAAAAATTCTTTAATTCTAGTAATTAAGACAAATATCTCAAAATTATGCTATTGTAAAAAAAGGTCACTTCAAAAAAAAATTTTTAATTAATTACTTCTCAATTAATAGCAGTATAAAATTTGTTTTTTATATTAAATTACACAGTAATATCATATCACTAAAATGAAATATTTTTTAATCATCATAGACCAATATATACTTCACTAAACCAAATTTTTCAATTTGATTTCAAGTTTAAGATTAGATTTTATCTATAACCTCATTTTTGAGATTGTTACTAATTAGAAAGTATTTACATATTAAGAAATTTTAATAAATAACATTTTATTTATAAAAATATTATTAATTTTTAAAAATAATCCTTCCAAAATTTTAATTCAAATTGCCCTTTTTAACTAATTTTTTTTGATTCTTTAAAGTGGATTTTTATGAAAATTTATAATTTAAAAATTTTGAACTTTTAAACACTATTTTGACTCAACTTAGAAAGTTTAGAATTTATATCATAAAATAGAAACTTTTATTAGAAAATAAAGAATTGTATTTTTTAGATTAATATGTAAGCGGGAAATTTTTTTTTTTGTATTTTTATTGTAAAAAATCATTTTAATAGAAGTCTTTGTAATCATTTCTGTATACATTTGGTGTTTAAATAGATGCTACAATTAAAATATTCAGAAATATATTCCGTTATTCTGTATAAACTATTATAGTATGTAATAACCAAAAGAAGTACAATACTGGGAATTTTATCGATTATATATCGGGAAGCTGTTGCATGTGTGAGGAGAGTGTAATGAGGAGAAATGTAGAGTGTATACTACGTGTTGAGGGGAATACTAAATTCTAATAGTTATTACTTAATAAATGTAGTTAGTGTATTAAAACTACTCTTACCTGATATTCTCTGATGATGAATGAATCTTGAGTGTAGATTTATGATTACTAAGAATATACCCAAGATTCTAGTAGGTGTGTTAATAAACGAGAATAGCACTTGGTTAACAGAAGCGTATTTATTATTGTAGAAAAATGTTAGTTATTTTCACAAATGTATATTTTAAGTTTAGTGTTAAAAGTTAAAATTATAGACTCACAGTATAAAGAATATGCCAAAATACGTAGGAAATAATCTTAAAGGTTTAATTAGACAAAAGCAATTATTAAGTAAGAGAAAAATGAACGAGTGACTAACTGGAAAAACAGTGTCCTCAGCCTTTATATAATGTACCACTAAAGTCATAAACGGGGATTGGCGTCCTGAATGTGTCATACTTTTTATAGGCACATTCAGTCATCATTCCATATTTCAATTATATTTTAATTTCCTTTTTTTTAGTACTTTAGTGGTGCCTGGAATACGGCACGAAAGACAATGATTCACGTTTATTTTATAGTTGCCCAAAAGTTAATACTATATGTGTAATTGTGTTAACGTATTCTTTTCTGTGGTCTTACAGAATATTACAAGTATTCTATAATATACTGATATTCAAAAATATACTGTGCCTAATTTCACATATGATATTGTCCGCTGTTGTGTTGTTAAATTTTCTTTGTAACCTATATTTTTTTGGTTATTAGCTTCGATGAGAAGCTGAGAAGGTATTAATTTTACTCTGATGGGTTTTTTTTTATATGTTAATACTCGTTTTTAACTAATTATTAATAATATCAAAAATCACTGGTGATGGAAATAATCTAATTGCAGATTTAAATTCAGCATGAAAAATGAGTTTAGAAAAGATAACTTTTGTCTTTTATGAAAATTCCTTGTTCACCATTTATTTATAATTAACCATAAATTATTTTCTGAAAAGTTTTGTATCAAGCCCTTTAACATTTATACAAGTTTTCCTTTAAAGTAACAATTACTTTTAATTTTTTTATAATATCTCCGTAAAATTACCATATTAAATTATGAAATATTAGTTTCATACTACATTAAGTTACTATAGTAAATATTTTTGTATATTATACTTATAAATCATAGAACTACCAATTAGGAATAATGAATGAAATAGAAGTTAATTTTGCTGTTGGAATAATCCATCAATTTCTTAAAATTAAACACTATCTACAGATTTACATCAAAGCATTTCTTATAGTAATTTTAATCACTGTTAAATATAAAACTGATAATGTTGCTGACTAAACAAAAAAGACTCAGAATTATCTTGTGAAAGAAGAAATCTAATTAAAAATAACATATACGATCAAGAGTGCAAATAGTGAAGCTCTAAATAACTAAACACACTCAGTATTGGTGGCACTTAGAGCTATAAGGTCTGAGTGCTATGCCCACACTTTTAATAATTATAACTGAAACTAACTACTACTGTTAGTAGAATTTACTTTGTGTAGCATATTTTATTTGAGTGATAACAAGTATTTAAAAAATAATTATGTATTTTTCAGATTTTTATTAAATATAAGTGATAAATGGAATCAGGATAAAATAAATGAAACAATAACAAGTGATAATTGTAGTAAACACATTGATAATACTATAATTAATACAGATGTGTTAGATGACCCAGGTAGAGGACATATAACTGAGAATTTAACAGCAAGTGTTCGTAACGTAACTGTTAATGAAGATATACCTTCTTTTAGAGAGTGGACAAAAAAACAATTAGAAGAAGCTGAAAAGCAGCCAAGTAAATAATTTTTTTTTTTATTAACTATATAAATTAAAAATTATACAATTATATATTATTAATACTATAATTATAAAATTATAGTATTCCATTAAATTTGTTTACTTTGATTTTGTATGAATATTATTTAAATTTATTAATAGAATTGCAAAATTAAATTGTAATCTCGATTCAAGGCCGACATAATAATTTTACTCAGTAAAAAAATCACGCTCAACTCTTTAAACTTTATTATGATAGGTTTTTCTTGTAATTTATTATTAAAATTTATTTCATATTAACTTTATTATACAAAAATTATCTTGATGTTTTTTGTTTAAAATCGAATAATTCAATTTTTATACGGGAATGTTAGATAAAATCTTTTTTATACATTTTACCTTTTTTTGTTATAAAAATTTGTTATGTAACCCTAAAACAAAAAATATATTATAGAAAAATTTCTAGATATTTATATTTAATACCTTCTGATTATATTTGGTATAGTGTAACATGGGTTTCTGTTATAGTCCTGTTAAAATTGCAAGGTATAAAGAAAATCTCTTGTAAATCTTAAAAAATTATAATTATTATTATTATTTTTACTGAATTTAGCTCTTAATGAAACTAAATTTAAACATGAAAATAAAATTTTGAAAAAAAATTTTGCTTCACCTGAATGTGGCGCAAAAGTAGTTTCAACTAATCCTGAAGCCAAATATCCACATCTATTGTTAACTTTGCCAAATGATGAATATATGTTAAATCTATGTAAAAGTACCACTTGGTTTGTTGTTGAACTTTGTGAGGCTATTCAAGTTAAAAGAGTAAGTTAATATCTAATAATTTTATTTGTTTATAAATTAGATAATTATTTTTTAAGTCGATATATTAGTTAAAAAGCATAAGAGATTGACTTAATTCTAGTAAATATTTTAATTTAAAAATTAAAATTTTTTGTAAAAAAAAAAAAAAACAAAAACTCACTATTTTAAAATTAATAAAGAAATAACTTTTTTTTTTCTTAGAGATAAATAATAAAAAATATGCTCTTAAAATAGTCCATAATTGTAAAATGTATTTAAAAAATAATGAGCAACGTAAAATATTTGTTGAATCAAATGTTGTTAAATATGTCAGAAACTGGTGGGGCATTTTGTATATAGAATGATCGGTTTATCATAAGCCTCTTGTTTACTCTCAAAATAAATACAATATTGGGAAAAAAAATTTTAATTATTTTAATTACATATATTTCTTGATTTATCTGCTAATAATTACTTTTTAGAATCAATCTTTATAACTTATAGGGGTGTCAACTTTAATTTTTCAAATAGGAACATGTATAGTTAACTAGCTTATTTAATAGATAATGATGTTATTAAGAAAATGACTGGTTGATAACAACATTAATACCAGTATTTCAAAAGTTATCAATAATTTAAAGTAATAAATAGAGGTGAAGGGTAGTGAATTCTTTTTTCTGTCTAGGTATAAAAATTAGAATAACTTATGATAAATAAATTCTCCTGTATTATATATATATTTATTTATTTATTTACATACAGTTTTTTTCAATTTATATTGTGTCACACTTGTCAAAATTTCCCACATCATTTACGCTCACATCAGCCAAACTCATATTAAATTGAATTACATCCCTTGATCTTTTTTTTTGGTTCTCCTCAACCTCTTCTTCGTTTAACATTCATTTCTATAACTGTTCTTACAGCTTCCAATTCTTCTCTCCTCATAACATGACTAAACCATCTAAATCTATTATCTGTCATCTTATCCACGATTGACGCTACATCTATACTCCCTCTTATATGCTAGTTCCTTATCCTATCTTTTCTAGTCACTCCACTCATCCATCTAAGCATTCTCATCTCTGCTACACTCATTCTCTGTTCTACTTTCTTATCAACCGTCCAACACTCTGAACCATACATCATAGCTGACCTTATTTCAGTCTTGTAGAATTTACCTTTCAGCTTCATTGGAATTCTTTTATCGCATAAGACACCAAACGCTTCTCTCTACTTCAACCACTCGCACTTAATTCTGTGTCTTACATCCTCGTCAATACCACCACTCTTGCACAGCTAACCCTAAATACTTAAAACTCTCCACCTCTCCAATCACGACCTCGCCTATTGTCACTGATCTCCTCATTTCACTCATTTAGTTGCCTCACATAAAATACTGGCTCCATTGTTGACTTACCAGGCATAAATCCAAACTTAGATACTGATGTTTCATTTCTTATTCTCATATCTATTACCTTTTCCCAAATTTTCATACTATGACTTATAAGCATTATGCCTTCATAATTTCCACACTCCTGTATGTCACCTTTACCTTTAAATATCGGGACCACAATACTATTCCTCCATTCATTTGGAATTTTCCCTTCTAATAAGATTGTATTTTAAAGTTCCTTCAACACCTCCTAATATTTTCCATACTTCTAGTGGCACTTCATCTGGTCCCACTGCTTAATTCTTTTTCATTTATGTCACAGCCTCTCATACCTCTTTCTCACTAATTAAATCTACCAGTCCCTCATTCCATGAGATATCCTCTAATGTCTCTTGAGTACTTCACATTCAGTAATTTTTCAAAATACTAAATAATATATTTCCATCTTTTTTTCACATCATCGTCACTCGAAAGTACCTTATTATCAACACTTTTTATACACATTATATAATGATAATCATTACATCTTTTCTCTCTTACTCTTGCAAGTCTATAGATTTCTTTCTCGCCTTCCTTTGTTCCTAGCCTATCATACAACTCAACATACCTCTTAAACTTCGCCTTATTTACTGCACACTCGGCTTATTTGTAGAAGCGTTTATACTCCATTCAATCTTCTCTCCTTTTGCTCTTTTGCCATACTATGAATTGATTTTTCTTACTTTCTATGATTTTTTTAATGTCCTCATTCTACCGCCAGGTTTTGTTGTCTTCTGGCATTCTACTCCTACTCTCACCAACAATCTCCTTTGCAGTATTCTTTACACAACTAGCAAATCTATTCCACACATTATTTATGTCTCCTTGGACATTCCACACTGTTCTCTTTTTTACTGTCTTGACAAACTCTTTTTCAATTTCCATCAACGGATTTTAGATTTTTCTCCCGTGTTCTTTCAGTTTTTTTCTTTTTCCGGTACACCAAAACTCCATTACTATCAGTCTATGCTGTGTAGTTACACTCCCGCCTGGTATAACTTTACAATCTTTTACTCGCTTTACGCTCTCTCTTCCACATAAAATAATCAATCAGTGATCTATTCTTCCCACTCTTATAAGTTATATAATGATCTTCCCTCTTTCTAAAATAAGTATTAACCACAGCAAGATCATAAGATACTACGAAATCCAGAATTCTTTCTCCATCCTCATTCTTTCCACTAAAACCATACCTTCCATGTACTCTTCATATCCTCTCCTCTCATTACCTACATGTCCATTTATATTTCCACCTATCACCGCATCTTCATTGTCAGGTACCCCTTCCATTACTTCATCCATCTCTCTCCAAAACATTTAATTGTATATTTCATCACATCCTACTTGTAGTGCATAAGCACTTATTACATTCAGTACTTTTTCCTCGAATATCAATTTTATGCCTATAATTCTGTCACTTTTCCTAGCTACTTCTAGTATTTTACTTTTTATCTCCTAATCCATTATTATCCTTACACCATTCTTGGTACTAGACTTACCTGGGTATATTATTTTATTAGCCTCACCTATTTCCCTCGATTTCTCTCCTTTCCACTTAGTTTCTTACACACAACAAATGTTAATTTTTCTCCTCTTCAATACTTCTACTAATTCTCTATAAAATATATACACATATAAATATAATGATAATAATATAGTAATAGTATAATTGAAAAAAATAGTAAATCAATCACTTTGCATGTATATATTTTTATGTTAAATTTTTTTTAAGATTGAACTTGCAAACTATGAATTATTTTCATCAACCCCAAAAGAGTTTTCTGTCTTTGTTGCGTCTCGATTAAATACTCGTAATTGGACTCCAATTGCACATTTGGTTGCAGAAGATGTTAGAGTATTACAAGATTTTCACATAAACACTACTATTGACAATGTATTCACAAAATACGTCAAGGTTGAAATACATTCTCATTATGGAAAAGAGCATTATTGTCCAATATCAGTATTTAATGCATATGGATTATCAGAATTTGAAGTAACTTAATCATTTTTTTTTTTTTTTATTAATAAAAAAATCATTGGTATACAACCTCAACTTACAATAATAACTTTCAATCCTTTGTTTATTAAAACTAACAATAGTTCTTAAATGTATTTTAATTATTTTATTAAAAAAAATATTCAAATTTTTAAATTTATTGAACTTTTTATTCTGTCTAAGTATATTTAAATAAAAATAAAATATGTATATATATTTGTATACAATTATATTGATTGCTTTAGGCATTAGAAAGAGCAGATGATCCTGGTTTAGAAAATCCACAAGTTGAAAATGAAGATGTTGATGATTTTGAAGTTATTGATGAAATAGATGTTGATAAAAATAAAACTAACAGTAAAAGTACTTTACTTGATAGTGCTAGAACTGCTGTTATGTCAATCGTCAAAATAGCTGCTGACGTATTAGATATAAGACAAAAATCTCCATGTGATACCCCACCTTGTAGTATCAATGAAACAACATATAATTTCACTGATGTAAATCAATATATAAACTGTATAACACCTGGTTATATTATGGTATGCCATGGCTGTAATGACACTTTTTATAAAAAGTAATTATTAGTTTTTAATCTTAATAATATACAAGGTATAACATTTTTTTTTTCTATTTTAATTTTAGTATGTTTGACATTATTAGTTGTGAATCCAATCATTTGACTGAAATTTACCAAAATAAATATATATATGAATCAATAATAAATAGTGATATATGTGCTGATTATGGTTTAGATTTTTCATTGTTAAAAAAAAGAAATAAGCATAAAAAATTATTAAATGGAAATCAACGTGAAAAATTTATTACATCTCTCTTTCCATTAGTCAAAATAGCAGCATTATGCAACACTCTAGCAATTATTCATAATAAAATTGCATTAAATAAAGCTAAACGTATTTATATTAATGACGATCTAATTATAAATTTACAAACAGCTTCTTCAGATGTTATTTCACAAAACAGCAGTAATAGTAGCTCAAGTTACCAAAAATCTGATGAATCGACTCAAAGTTCTTCACCAATTAGTAGTAATTCAGTCACTTTAGATTTATCAAGTTTCATTGAGCCTATAGTTGCTCAGATTTTACCTACAAAAATCTCAGCTACTAAAGATGAACCACCTATGTCATTAACCCATCAATTAAAAGAGACCATTAACGTTAATATTGAAAATATAACTGCTGAAACTTCATCAAGTCAAGAATACAACATGACTAGTGGGGTACCTACACAAAGTTCTACTGAGTGTAATACTTATAATATTTAAATTTTTTCTTTGATTTGCTAATGTACAATTCCTATTGTTTTTCAGATGTAACCAGTACCATTGTAAATAATACTATTGTTACTGATATTGATAATTCAAATATAAGAAATTCAACTACTGAAATTAAACCACCACAAGAACAGCAAACAGACAATTTTGACAATTTTTTTAAAGACTTTGAAACTGAAGAAAGTGAAAATGATAAGTGTAATTCCACAGCATCTGAATCTTCTATTCAGTATACTACAGTGCAACCTTCAGTTCTGTCTCAAAACACAAAACAATCATTATTTATTCGTTTAGCTAATCGTATTAAGGTAGTTTTATTATAAAAAATCTTTATGTAACTTAAAGAATTGAAAAAATATTTAGTAAACATGACTAAAAAAAAGAAATATATAATTATCTTAATTTTTAGGACTTGGAACGTAATATGTCTCTCAGTGGTGAATATTTACAAGAATTAAGTACTCGTTATAAAAAACAAGTTGATGATATGCAGCGAACAATTTTGGAATTAACCGAAGAGAATAGATTAATAAGAGAACAGGATTTGAAAATTCTTGAGGAAATAAAGTTTTTAAGTGATCAAGTGTCTTCTCTCCAAAGTACCTTACATTATTTAAAGGCAGAAACTGAGAATTTTAATTTAGTAATTATACAGTAATTCATTAATTATACATTTCAATAACTAAAAGTCAATTTTAATTTTATTCTAGTTGTCATTTATTCTATCTGATAGCAGTCCAACAACAGTCATGATATTTTGCTTCTTAATTCTAGCATATGTGGCTCTTAGACTCTTAGGTTTTATCGGAAAACACGGAAAAGAGCTTGTTTGGGAGAGTTCAATAAAACCTAATAATACTCGTAGACTATCAACAAATGATATTCCTTCTGATATTAAAGAAAAACATAGACGTCCTAGTGAAGAAGCCTTATTTTCATCTGGTAAGTATTTACAAAAATTTTGTAGGTATAAATAAAAATTATTCATATTAGATAAATATTTTTCCACTTAACATTCTGAATCTTATATTAGTTTTATTATAAAAGATTATTTAAGGCTTAAATTTATTTATTTGTAGGAACAACCCATCAAGACCTGTTAATTAGAAATAATAATGGAGAAAACGTTAAAAGTGAAAGAAGACGTAGAAGAAAACGTAAAGAACTAATATTGAAGTCAAAATCTAATGCTATAAATTTAGAAGTTGGTGGTATGGAAAATGGTGGTAACATTAAAATGAAATCTAGCCACAAAGACATTCATAGAAGTGCATCATCATCTGATCTTACTTCTATTGATGTTCCAAATAATGAATTTATGAAAACTGCTTTATCTATTAGGACAAATAGAATGTCTGGTACATTACATCCAAGTAATGGTTTTATTGAATCCAACAAAAATTTAACAGAATCAAAGTCAAAGAGTATTAAAAATTTTTTAAAAAGAATATTTTGAGTTTGAGAGTAAGTTTTGACTTTTATATTTTGATTGTTAACTATTTTTATATATATATATATTTTTTTTTTTTGTTATTTTTATTGTTATATTATTGTAATAAGTATTGAATTTTATGGAACAAGTGTTATTATTAGTTTTTTCAATATGATTTGGTTTTTGAAAAAAATATTAATTATTGTGTTGAAATGTATAAAAAAATACAATAAAATTGTAAATTGTTCCAGAAAAATAAATAATCACGGACACCTTATTATTATAGAAGTTAAAACTAAGTTCCTACTGACGGTTGTGTAATTTTATTTTGAAGATTATTTAAACAATGAATAAACATAGTAATGAATTAAATTAAATGTTGGAAATAATATAATTCATCATAATAAATTTATTAGATATTACCATATAATACAAATTTTTATAATTTTTTGATGTTCACAATGTAATTTTTTTAAACTACTATCAAAATTTTGCTATTAAGCCAACAATTTATACCAGTTCATGAAAATTATTTATTAAAAAATCAAAACAAAAATTTTTTATAATTAATTTGATTTTAAAATTTTATTAAATAAAAATCACTAATTTTTTTACAATTATTTGCTTTAATCAATTTCTATACAAAGTGATTCTTTAATCATTAACTAATTAATAATAGCTATACAATAATAATATCTGTTGGGATTTTTCAGTATATGTTATATTTAATTTATTCAACAAAATTTTCATTGTTTTATAATGTACAATTTTTAAATGTGATAAACTTTTAAAAGTAATATATCTAATGTCATTCTTAATTATAAAAATAGTACAACATATTTAAAGATAAAAAATGTAATATGGTTTAAAAAGGTGTGTACTGTTCAAATCATCATATTTTATGGCACAGTTTTATATATTCTCGCCAAAATAATAAATAGATAAATATATTATTTAAACAATAATATAAATTATTTGATAACATTTCAATTTGAATAATTTAAATTTTAAATATTTATATTTTTTAAAGTCTATTTTATTTATTAATATTTAAAAATCACTTTTAATAGTTTTAATAAACATATAGTTAGACCAGCATTAGTTTTAATTAAATATTTTACTATTAAAAAGAATAATCAATAAGTATGTGCAAAATACAAAAAAATACTTAAAAATTTCATTAAAACTGTCTAGGCTAATAAATAATTAGGGTGTACTTCAATATATTTGATACTTTTATAATTATATATATATACATACATTTGAGCAATACATAAAATGAAAATCACAAGTACCTTTTATAGAAAGAACAAATTATACCAAGACAGCATAATACCCGAAGAAGAAGTAAAATTAGATATATTATGATGATCATCATTCACCTAGTTTTATTCTATATTTTTGCAATATATCTAATAAATTAAAATGTTACAATTTTTTACAACAAAATTGTACCTAAAAGTACAGAAATAATTTCATAGATTATGAAACATTATTTTATACTAGCGAATATAATACTTTTTAACTAAAAACCAATCAAATATTTAATGAAATATATATAAAAAAAAATGTCTAGTTAAATAGATGGTTTTCTGGCACAATTAAAAAAAAAAAAAATAATAAACCTACTTATCTACAAAATATTTGCATTACTACCAACAATATAAGTTTTATCAAAATATAAAGTATAGAAAAAAGTATTGATAAACTATAATGACATACATAGAAAAATTTGTACATAAATGATTTTTTCTAAGAATAGATTGGCTACATAATTTTGATTTTGTCAGAAAGTTTGATATAATATACATTACTAAATATGATAAAGCTTACGCAATTGGTTAAATATTGTGTAAATGTATCAAATTTGGTCAACTACCACTTATTAAACGCGAATACATATTTTTAATTTAATTGCCATGACTATAATAAGGGTCACTCGTAACTACATTTCTATATTCAAGTTTGAAGTGCATTCTCATATCAAAGATGTAATTAATCTTGCCTTGAAGTTTACTATTCGCTCTGTAGTCTGGGCCAGTCGCTAAGGAAAGAAATAATCATAATTAGATGTATTTATAATGACTATTATCATGCATACTAACCAGAATCAAATCTTTAAGTATATTTGCAATACCCCTGTTGGTCAGTACGAATATTCTGGTTAAAGGTCCAGGTACCCCAACGTTATATCCATCTTCTTTCACTGTTGCATCAGTTTGTACTGTGTGTGCATCTACTTCCAAACCAGCACTATTGGATGATTCGTCTCTATCCTGGGGAGCACCGCTACCGGCTACTAACTGTATGCCGGGATAAACATACATACAAACCGATCATATTGGAAATATTGCATAGTAAGATATTTAAAGTTTTGGTAAATTTTTGCCATGTAAAACGCATATTAATAGACCAGAAATCTCGCAATTTCATTATTTCGTTAAAGTGTAAAATAACTTACAAGTTATTAAACAATAAAAAAATAATGATTTGTTAATAGTGTTTTAGCTTCGATACGAAGCTGAAAGGTTTTTAAGTTTAAACATAATATCCAAATAAGTGATCTTAAAGCAATAAAATAAAATGATAAGTATTCTGAATATTATGTTACAATAATAATTAATGAACTTTTTTAATACAAGTATTAATCTGGTAAATCAATCAGCTTTAATTAATGTTTTGTATCATAATTCAACAATAGCGAGGAATCTAAATCTACCAAAGGAAAAATAAACCTATAATTTTCTATTTGAATTAAATGCATCATATTAATAAAATGATACACGATAATATAAATAAAACAGTTCAAAACACAAAAATAAGAGGAGTTCAATTAATTTATGCTTACAGTGTTATAAAAAAAAATTAATAGTTGCTTGATATGAGAATTTAGGCTCTGATAATTAAGAACTGAATGCAAAATTATTAATGAAAACAGGACTGCTTCTCATATTCCAATTAAAATTACTTTTAAGTGAATGGTTATTTTGATTTTATAAGTAAAAGGTAGAAAACTCTATGGTATAGAATATAAATCAATACAATTAAAAATATTTACTTCATTGAACAATTTAAATAAAGTCACCATGATTAAAAGTTATAGTCTTAAAATATTTTTCTTAGTATATTTATTCTGGATCCTCTATGCTATCATGATTGATTATTTTGAGTAAAAGTGCATATATTATTCTTATTATTGTAGGTAAAACAAAATATAAAAAAAATAATAATAATAATATTGTGGTAATAAATACTCGTTATCCAACTTAAAACTCAAACTTATTATAAAAATGTCTTATTAAAAATATCAATAAAATGGTAAATTTCTTACTATGTCAATATTGATGTGTATTATAATATCAATTTTGGTACAGTATTTTTTTTTTTTTAATAACACTGTTGAATATAAAAATGATAAAATTGAATAATTGGTTCGTTTTTAACATCGTCATTTAAAAATAAAAAACGTTTCAATAAAAAAAAAAAGTTTTTTGTGTAAAGTTACCATTAGTATTTTTCAATAGTATTTTATTTTAGTTAATGTTCACCGTGAATGGCTATTTGTTTATAGTTTGTGCACTTGGTCGATAATATTTGTGAGGGTAATAAGTTTGTAATTAGTTATATGTAAATATAAATGTGTTTAGTAAATATTTTAAGCTTGCCGAAATAATTCTACGATAAAAATTGATCCCGCTAACTATCAATGACAATTTAAATGACGAATTGCATGATTTTACGTAACGGTGGTTAGTGAAAGTAAAATTTATGCTTCCATCTTAAGGAATATACAAATACTTGATATTTACTAATAAAAACTTGTAAATTATTGAATTAATTGATAGCTTAACGTGATTTATGTATTAGTATTAATTTTAACTGTTCAATATCTTTTATTTCAAATACTAATAAATACGTTAGAATTATGTATATAAATTAATTTTGACAGATAAAAAACGTTTTAAGTAATTTTATACATTCTAAGTTTTTACTATAGACGACTCTACAGTAAAAGTAAAATATTATAGCCTAAAGAGTGCACTAACAACTATAACAATTATTTTGGTTGGAAATAATAGTCAATAAAAAATAACAATATTAATAGTAATAAAAGTAAAAATGAAAGACTGTATTGGAATAATTAATTATTTACCGACGATGGATATTGAAGTGGCTGTTTGAGTGTTAATGTGTTTGGGTCGGTGCCTGCGACCACTCTGTAGAAACTACCGGCAGCCCTAGCTGCTCTGTCCGCTCCCCTCTATTGAAAACCAAAAAATCTTTTTTTGCCTCAGACCTTTCAATTGGTTTATTATTTTTAAATTAATTTTTTATGTTAACAATTAATTCATTATTAGCCACATGATGCACTAATCACCAAAGTAGCAAGACGCTGTCTACCTTTTACAAAATATGTGTAATTTAAAAATGTGCGCACAGATACATTTAATTTATATAACAATAAAAATAATCTATACACTATGAATTTGCGAAGGAAATACAAATGAATAGGCCAAGTGAACAAGATTAAGAATGGATAAATTGAAGGTATTACAAAATTTATGGCCAATGAATGATGGAATTACAACCATAATTATTTTTATTCTATAAAAATTGATAATATATAAATGCTACAAAACGGTAACGCTATTTGGCAGGCAAACATGCAATTCTACTCTAAAAATGTATGCGTTTAAAGTTGCACTGATGATTATTGACAGGTCAGTAAATTGTTTACCTTCGCCCATGCGTTCTAATCACATCATAGAAAAAATGCATTATAAATAGGAATGTCTATTGCAATGATTTTGATAATTACAATCTGCACCTTTCACCAGTGAGTAAAATTTATGCCCATCAATCTATTGGGGTAATTCATTAAATAACATTTATAATATATACAAAACGAATATCATTACGTTGCAATTAATAATGTTTCATATGTGATGGGCACAATTTCGTGATCTGTTTGAGTTGTAAGTACTAATTATTTTTTTATATTATCAATAAAATAAACAATTTCAAAACGGTACCATAACGTAAAAAACCGTTAAATGCATCACGAGAGGATAATAAAAGTCACGATCTAATCGCATCTAATCAAAATATATTTACCAAAAACGTTTAAAATGATGATTAAGAGCTGGGGTCCTACGAGACACTTCACTCAAAAGTATAATTTTACACTAAAAAACATATTAATTGCAAAATTTAAGCCATAGGCTATGATCGATCATAATTATCTATTTTAATCTTTATTCTATTTCATCAGACTTGTGCACAATTGATCATATTAAACATAAATTGCATATACTTTTATTTTTTTTGCGTTCGCTTTAATGAGCACATTATTGAGTAACATTATGACACAACAAATATGAAGTGCACAATGATCTATGAAATCATTTATATTGTAAACCAGTACATATTATTATAAAAGTTGTGATAATAACTTAATTTGTTTTTTTTTTTTATAATTCTTTATAGACGTACATCAAGAGAAATTAAACTCTAAGTCGACGCTAGGTAGTGTTATTTCCATTCTTATCAAATTTTAATTGATGTTAGTTAAAAGTCATAATTAAAACCGAATTTATAGAAATGTTTTTCGACAATAAATTTCAAATGTCAGGCTGATTTTACTCTATAGTAAATTAATAACAAATTGTTTTGCTTTATTTATCAGGAAAGTGTTCTAAAAAGTAAAAAGAGATACAAGTTTTATTGCAAATAATTAACTTGTTGATTGAAGATAAATCAAATTTAATATTTAAGTAATAAATATTGTTATGCAATGTGTTGGGATGACTTACGGCAAATGTATGGGTCGAAAAAACTTGTAAGTACAAAATTCTACTATTTATTCACGAGGTGTATTATTGCATATTCATAGTTATATCCCATACTGGTTATATTATTAAGGAATTAACTGGTTTCGAGTAAAAGTTGTCTCGACTTGCATATGGTGATCACAATATTAAAACAAACAAAATTATGTTAAATATTCTGTTGTGCTTTTTTTTGTGTGGTCCACGTTTTGTTTTATTAGTAATGGTAGGCGTTAACCGTTTTTAAAGGACATAGTGAACTAGTTATTGGTTACAGTTAAACGAAGGTAGCAATGTCGCATATACAATAAGAGTTTTACACATTTAAAGTAAAATGAATGTTACGGTATCGAAAAAAACGACACGTTATTTTTAATTGGTACAACGCCTGTGGCTAGAGACCACGGAGAAATGAAAAACAGGTTTTTCGCGAGCGTTTAAGTATTAATTTATACTTGAACTTTTTCAAAAGATTGTGTTGGACCCGTTACTCATTGAATTTAACATAATTCAGTTTATGATGCGTCATTGATGATTATGTCTATAGCAATTACAGGAGTAATTACTGTTTAACACTTGTTGAAGGAAAAGTACTGATCGTTGGGCGTCTTTCTTATTTATAGAATCAACACTTTAATTACTTAATCAATACCTCTAAATCGCCTACTAGTAGTTACTTAATAGAATGGTTTTTGGAAGGAGGCAGGTAAGTCAAAAATTGTAATTTTTTAGGAGACCAAAAAAAAAAAAATATTTTTTAAGTGATGGGGTAAGTGGGATTTTTCAAATTCAAACTCAAAAATATAAAATAATTAAACTGCCTATGAAAATAATTTGGATACCATTGAACGTAAAAATTTTCTATAAAGTTGATAATAACTTAAAAATGACAAATTTGGACTTGACTATTTTCTCACAAAAACCGTCGAATTATCTTATCGAGTTACTATCTTATCTACGCACGACAGAGAGGTATCTGATTCAGAAATCTCGTGAATTACCAGTTAGCTTGAAAATCAACAAAATATTTGTGGTGATTTTAGTTATAAAAAGTTCAATCCATTACTGCTATTCAAAGAGTATAATTTTTATGACATTGTAAAGTAATATATAATAATGATAATGGGAATATTCTTATAATGCATTACGATTTTATTACAAATAATTTATTTATACCAGAGAAAGAGAAATTAAGTAGGGCAAACATTATGATTCTGTTTACTCGCATAAAAGTGGTTTTTGGCAAAGTTAATTTTAATAACTAATTAAATGGTTATGCATAAATAATGATATAATTTACGGTCATATTCGTATGTTTGTAGTCGTTTAAAATTGTGAGTGTATTTATGTTAAGATGTATATTTGTGTTAAGTTATATTTAAAAAACAATTTAATATATACATTTATGTATGTATTTGTGGTATTGAGAACCGAATGGGAAAATAATATGTAAAGTTAAATTTAGATACATAGCTCTGATAAATTAGTAAACTCACTCTAATCAGGTCGAACAAGAAGTTTCCAGATCCTCCTCCACCACCTCCTCCTAAGTTGAAAGAAAACCGTTTGTTTCTTGAATCTTCCTGATCAGTTTCTTCGGAATCGCCATTTATCAAACTGCTTTCGTTTATAGAAGATGATTCATTTACTAAAATAAATAATAATATCAATCTTTTGTATATATAATCGTAATAGGGACATGCATAAGTCCCCGGCAATGAGTGCCATTAATGATATTCCTTTACTAGCTTTAACCATTTTACAAGCTGATCATCACAGGCACAACTAGATTTATTGTTTCATAATATGATTTTCATTTAAAAAAATATAAATTATATTAAAATTTTTATAATAACCCTCTTTTTTAGATTAATCAACACAGAGAGCAAAAAAATTATATAAACCAAAGTTCCCCGAATTATAAACACAATTAAAAATAATATGTTTGAAAAAATGTACATATTATTGGTTATAGTTATGGCTGTGATAAAATAACCCACAAATTATTATACAACAATTACAACAACATTAGAAATGAGACATACTATTAATTTATATGAGAATATATTAAGCTTATGACTAATGACATTACTACATAAAAAGCTGTAAGGGCGCAAACGGAAAAATAGTTTTTACTAAAATAGATGAACATAAAATAATTAGACTACAAAAACTATTAAAGCCGTTTGCGATCACAAACTAGAAAGGCGTACAAATAATATGGATGCAACGTTCGTACTATACAATTATTATTATTTATTAAACATTACTATTATGATTGAACAATTTCAAAGAGCAGCGAAAGGTATATGAAGATAAATTTATATAAATGCACCCTTCGAAGCAGATATAAGCGTGCGTTACTCACTATTAATAGTAACAATATTGATACTTATTCAATAAATTATGTTTAAGTATCAAATTGTAGTGTGTCCTTTTTTAGATTCACTGATTTTTATTTATTTATTGATCATCTTCATTATGGCTACACTCTTTTTACCTCACTGTCGATATTATAAACACAATTTTTTTATGTTGTCTATTCTGACATACACACACATATTTATAATAAGTGGATAAACCGAACTGCTAGGCACCAAAAATTATTGTCCATTGAAAATCGAACAAAAATCTAACCATCAATATTTATAGAAGACGTAACTAAAATTTGGATTTACTGATTAACAATAATAATACTGTTTGTTAATTGACAAACTCATTCATTTGTTACTTTAAGTTGTCAGATCAGTTTTAATTATATTCTGCTTGACAATAAAAAAAATGTTTATTGCACTTCTTTAATAATACTCTCAAATTAATGCAGATATAGGCTGGCTTTTTGGTAAAATTACCATACAAACTCTTACTGACAATTTTAAGAGAATGAGGAGTTGTGTTGGTGTATATTCTTTTGTAGAACTTCTATATCTCAATTTAGTCTCCAACAGTTAAATATTACTATTTTATATTTTTAAATGTTTTTACATTTATTAAATGAATAAATGAACATTTATGACACAATACAACTGACGTTATCAGTATTTGTTATTAATTTGAAATTTCATTGTAATAATATTTTTATTATCAATAATATTTTAAGTTTTATAAAAAATAAATATAATTTTTTAATATTTTAGTCAACGTATTACATCATAGTTTAATTTAAAATGTTTATTTAGGTTAGATAATTCCCGGACACAATACGAATAAGATGAAAGTCGTTGTGTCACAAAAATATCAATCATAAAATATTACCTTAAAAAGACTATCTTTGAATAGATTTTAAAAAGCATTTAACAATGGTTAAAATTGTAATATATGTTTATATACCACTTTTCATGGTTATGTTTCAAAAATTAATCAATGGAGAAAATTTTTTTAATATTTAATTTGGAGTTTTGCGTATAAATGTAATGGTGTATGACGTTGGCGATGTAAGAGTCTTAAAGAAGATAACCCTTTACCAAGCTTGCGTCAGGGACGATCTAAAGAAAAAATCACGGGGGCGTGTAGGCTTTAAGTGTGCCGTATTTAATTTTTAGTCTTATAAAATTTTATTGTTGTAAAATATTTTTAGAATATTATTATATTCGGTCAAATTAATTAATAGAATATGGGGATGAGACGAGACCCACCCCCATGACTCCTCTTCAGTTCGTCCCTGCGCATGTGTATAGAAAAACGTTGTGAAAATAATAAGAGTGGTGAAAAGATTTGTTTAATTTATCTAAAAAAAGAAAATAATAATAGTCTATGAACAATAACTTAACTTTATTTAATAAAAAAATAATCAATTATCGTTTAAACTAACACACACTCATGTAATAAATAAATAAATCATAAAATATATATATATATATAAGTAATATGATAGCCGTTTCCCTATTAGCTATGTATAGATATGTATAAAGTACATTTAGAAAAATATGTATTTAAATCATGAAAAAATAAATAATAGAATTTTTTCAAAACGCATGAGAATTTTGAAGTTGATTAACGTTAGAGTAGTTTATATATTTTATGTTATATATAACATAATGTAACTTAACATGTATATATATATATATACATATTTATATATATATCTTAGTTCATATGTGAACTAAGATGTATTATTTTAAACCTAGTTTTTTAATAGTAGATTGCCATCATATTTTACCAGTTTCGGTTAATGTGACTGATTTTTGATTGACCAAACTAGGGACTGCGTCGGTTGAGGACACTTCTCTTGCAATTCTCTTCTTCTTAACGGCCGAGTCTGTCGACAACTGGTTGTCCATGTCGGACGGCTACAATATTAAAAAAGTATTAAATACGTTAAATTTTACTAATTAAACGGTTAATTTCGATTTTAATAAATGTAACCAAAAATTACAATGTTAAATTGAAATGACATACGAACATTATCAACAGTCCAATTAAATCAATAACCTAAAATTAAAATGTAACAACTAGCAGGTATACAACTAAAATCGACGTGCAATACTACCACACAATATACATTTTAATGTATAATGTTACCATCATACCATAAAACTAATTTTTATTGTTTTTATCAAAACTACTACGATCACCAAGCGTTGTTAAACTATTAAACTATCAATAAACGTGCAAACTTATAATATCGCATAAAAATACCAAAGTGTCAGGAACACTGTCATCACATTAGAATCGACAACAGTTTCTTAATCGGTTCAGAGCACTATTATTGCTACTAGTACAACGTAATAACATTTAAATTACGAGTAATGTTGCTATACCACTATGATAAAAAATAATAAAACAAATTTACAAGGTATAATCGAACAAATCGGTATTTAAACCATAGAAATCTTTATAACCGTCCAACTAACAATCAGTTTATAATATTTTTCTTGTATACTATTTAGCGTACATAGCTCATAAGAATACTGACCCAATTAGATTTTACAAAAGAAGCGATTATACACTTTGGAAGTGTGCCATTATAAAAACACTAATAATATAATAGAACACGTCATCTCTACGTGAGAGAACAACACAAGAAGTACATTTTATTATACTAATGTCCATAATAGTCTTATTTATGTAATGACACTATTACTATAAAAATCATAATAAGAGCAGTATTCGTTTCCTAATTTTAGATCATGATATATTTGCAATTAACTATTACAATTACAAAAAAAATATATATACCAATTTCGTTTTATAAAAATAGATTTAAAAGGGTTTTTTATTAAATTTTATTTATAATTAAACTAATGATGATAAAGAAATAATTTTGTTAAATTTTTTTTATGTAAATGTTGCCTTCTTCGACTACGTTTAAATTATATTTTTATTATTTATCATAAATAAGAAAAAATAAAACATTTTGTGTTAAAATTCTTATAACTTAATGAGTACTTGTCTTAAATTTGCTATAGATCCATCAACAATTTTCATAACAAAAGGTCAATTTCAAAATCAAGAAAAAAATCTATTTATTTATTTTTTCTTATACTGATTATTAGTAACATTTGTGATTTGAACGTATTCGAAGGAGGAAATAATTATTTTTAAAAGAAATTTCAACGAAATTTTATCAAAAGTGAAAAGCGTTGTTAGTTATATCTGAGACACTGTAAAATTTTTAAGATGCTCAATCAAAGAGAAGCGTTCTGAAAAAAATGTATTAAAATTATTATCTGATGAAAATTATATTTTCTGGAATAATTATTTTCTATTCTATATTCTAACGAAATTCTCATGATGCTTCTTGATAAGTTGTGTAGTCGTTATAAAATGACTATATAACTTATTATAAAAGTAAATAACATCCATAAAATTCTTAAAAAATTTAGTAAATTTTTACTATTATTATAGGTGTAATAATAGATGATTAAAAATTAAGATAAAGGAGAGGGATATGTAAATAATAAACGCATAAAACGAAATCTATCAACCAATCCCAACTTGATAGTGGTACAAAATTAATAACACTAAACCGATTCGGCAAACATGCACTACAATTCACAGGTAAAATATTAATTAGCAGTACCCCTGTTAAATTATATATAGGGTGTCCCACCGTGATTTACTAATTTTAACATAAGTTTATATAGTCAAATTAGTAAATCACGGTGCGACACTCTGTAAACACAAACAAAAATATAACAATTATGATATTGTAAATTATATTTTGTTAAGACTACAAAGAGCATACAAGGGGAGGGGTATAATCCATGCATATTACATCACATTTGATAATAGCATTTGTCATTCCGATATCATCAATTTACCGTTAATTGCGTACTGGTAACTGGTGATAATGTGCTGGTGATAGGCGATAAAGTGGCTTCGGCAGTAGTGACCGGTGCGCCGGTGGTTGATTCGGCTCCTGCTGCCGATGGAGCGGCAGAGGATGATGGTGAACTCTGAATAGTGGTGCTGTCTATTTCCGTTGACTGTTCTTCTTCTTCATCTGGTAAAGGAGGGTACGTGGGCAATGTAATGGATATCCTTCGGCCTCCATTATTCGAAGAGTCACCGCCATTGTTCGCACCGGTAGTGCCGGTTCCTGTGCCGTCGCCACCGGGGGCACCACCACGGAGCACCAGCCGACCGATCACTCTGAATAGGAATCGTGTGATCTGTTGGATTTTTCTGTCGACTATCTAGAAAAACAGGTGTCAACCCCAAACACACGTACACTAAAGATTTTTGTTTTCTATACAACGCATGCATGTGATAATACTAATAGTAATAAAATACAAAGCATTGCTCACAATTTGAGCGGATTACCATAACAGCAACGTACGGCTTAATCGTTATGAAATTTAAACAAATAAAATATTTCTTTTACACAAGTTGTGCCATTTAATTCAATATAATACAAATATCAAAATAATTATTCTTACCCAGTAAAATGTTTGAAATATTTTCAATTAAAATGTTAGTTATTGTATTGTAGAAAGTAACATTATAAAGCTCTAACTAGGTTTTAACCTTGGAATTAACTAGAATTGGAGAAAGGGTTAAAACCTTCCGAGTCATATAAACTTATTAAAAAAAAAAAAAATGTTGTATGCAATAACGTTGGCAAATTCATCGACACTATAGAAATTAACAGACATGACAATATAATAATATGACAAGATTTCCATTCACTTTGATGCAAATGACGTATTTAAATATTTGCTTAATTTATTCAAATAAATAAAACATCTTGGCCTATACATTAGACAAAATAATAAATGTTAGCACGCCATTGCCCTTATATTTAGACTTCCTCTTACTTATACACCCAATTAGAAATTGTTTTTAGACTTAAGAAAACTAAATGCTTTTTCGTTCTAATTTTTTAGTTTTTTTAAATTTGTTTCATTTTTTGATTAGTTAAAAATTAGTAAATTATTGCTATTAAATTAATGGAAATACAAATTTAAAGACGCGAGTTTCTCTAGCTGTATTTAACTCGAGAGTCATTTATTAATTTTTCATTTACACTGAAATTTGCTCTCTCCTCTCCATATTTTGTTTTGATAAGCTTGTTATCTAATGGGAACCATCAATCAAAACTGCATAGTCAGTGTTTTTGGTTAAATTTCTACCATATGATTCATTCTACCCACATGTGTTCCATACCAGTACTTGTTCAACATTTGTCAAATGTGTAATTGTTTTGTGAACTATTATTTTAGCTATAACAATTAATTCTGAGGCCTGTTAATAATAATTATAAGAGATAACGTTAGGGAATAATGCAATTATATTTTTTGGACTTGAAACATTTTGTTTTTCAAAACTTTCACAAAGTTAATTGGGTGACTTCATTAACAATGACTTATTTGATCTTTAAATTATACATTAAAGTATATAGCGCTGTCTAACACTGTTGTCTTGAGAAATATGGCTCAATTGCATGAGAATGTAAGCATTGCATCCGAATCATCAAATTATTGGCAATAATAAAAAGACAAAAATTTAAAAAAATGTTGGAAAAGAAGTTGTATATATTTCTGTATCTTACTATCTATATGACAGAGCAAAGGTATTTAGTTTGAAAATAATACAATTTTGTTGTTTGGAAACTTAGCAATTATATAACGTAACTTCCAGTCATGACTTTTAAAATTACATTCCAAAATGATGTCCTTGTAGTCTTTATTGCTCGATATTATTACAATATGTATTTATAAATGCCTTTGCAATGAGTATCATATTTGCAGGTCATAATTCGGTAATCAAATTGTTTTCATAATACTTTAGCATTTTAAAGTCGATTTATTTTTGCAATTGATTTTTATCCGAATTAGTGTAACAATTTAATTGTTTCTTAAAAAAATCTTTTCTCTTAACTACTTCATTCAAATAATCACAAAAATTAAAGTTGTTTCTTGACTTATGGTAAAATGTTTAACCTTGTCGACATGCAATGGGTCATTGAAGTATATTTACATTTGACGAGTAATTAGAATGTTTTTTAGCATTAAGACAAAGTGATCGTAAACTTTAAGGTCTATCCTCATCAGTAGGTCTTTGCTAATGTTTAACGCTAACAATCAAATCGTCTATTAAATATTTTGGCATCGACAAAAGAGAATTATTAACTATGATTCATGGTTAATTAGTTAACATAAGTTATAACTTATGTGAAATTTTAATAATGTGCTAAGCATTTACAGGATTAAGCATTCGTTTAGCAAGTTATACAAAAAAAAAAAAGGAGTTTTAACGAAATTATAATTGTTTTCAAGCTCAATAAACAGTACAACTGCAATTTTATTGTTTACAATTTTTATATCAATTCTATAAGGAATTTCGACAATGATTCTAATTCTGGCTTCAGATTTTGTCTGTAACATCTAATCTTTGAGAAAATTACGAATTAATAATTATGTGATAATTATACAATAAAATTACTATAAAAAAATATAAATTTTGTCTAACTTTTCTAAAATTATTGTATGGTGTATAATAAGACTTGAGCAAAATTTGGTACTGTTCTATCAAGTTGAACCAATTTATTGGATATTTAAAGAAGAGTTTGTGTGTCATTTAAAAAAAAAAATCTAAACTTTTGAGTTAAAATTTGTTGGTATTTAACTTGCAATGATAAAAATGTAATAAAAAAATATATTATTTTATAAGAATTTAAAAAATATTACTTTTAAAAGAAGATGAGGGCCAACATTCCTTATAGAATTTATACAAAAATTTTAAGCAATAAAAATATTTTTGTTATCTATTGCAGGGTTGCTAAACAAAATCTGTTTAAAACATAATTAAACAATTTGAAACGTCCCATAAGACCAATATAAATTTTAACATTTTTGGTGTTTTAAACACGTTGACAACATTGATTTATTGTACTGTGTAATTATTGTATTCGATTTCCGATGTAAATTGCAAACCAATAGTAGTTTCAGTACAATTCTCTTTTATGTAATTTTATAATTAATTTTTTTTTTGTTTTTTGGAAGCACTAGTAATATTGAACATTATTTTATGAAAAATCATACTAATATCTGCTAAAATGCAATTCAATTTAGATTTGTTTTTAAAAACTTGAGTTTGTTCATTAATAAAGTGACTGAAATTGAGTCGTTCAGTTGCAAAAGAACGTATGTCCAAAAAAAATTTCATTTTTTCCTAATTAAATGTAAGCTAATTCGTCCGGTAAATTATTTTGGGCATACGTCCTCTTGAAAATGAACTACTCAATTGAAAATTAATATTTATGGTGCGTAAAAAGTAAATTCATTTTTCTTTTCCTTCTCAAATTCAATCATATTCTACCCAAAAATATTATGTATATTTTGCATATGTTCCTATTTCAAAAAACTCAGTGTGGTTGAGCTGTAAATGATAATATTATATTGTTTTTTTCTTTTTTGTTAAAATATTTAAAAGTTATTTCAATAATATATCACGACAAAGATAATATATTATACTTTGGTTTGAACGAGTGGTGTAATCATGAAAATGTAAGTAGTTGTCCAAGACAAGTGATGTAGATTAAGTATCCGAATAGTTTTAACGCATTTTTAAGCAATTTGATGTGTTCAAATGCTGAGTCTGTATACGTAAATCATGTTATTCCGGAGACTGATAAAACAACTCATAAACAATTATTAGCATAACCACTTTACGCCAGCTAACATTTCATAACAATCCGAAATTTTGTTAGCAACCATAATATGTAGGTTCGATTTATCAACAAGGTTACAGATGACGATGGACCGGGATTACTTGAAACATAAAGTGTTATCATTCCGAAATCTTCGTGATTCACGCTTTGGATACTCTGACGTTTCGATTACAAGTGCTTTCTTAGAGTGGTCGGTAAAAAAAGTTATTTTACTGAAAATAATCGGGTCATATGTAGCGCAAAGTGGTTTATTTAGAGTGTATAAGTTCTTAGCCTTAATTAATGTGACTAAATAATGAATTATCATCATTGCTTCTCGTCACAGTACTCTACGAAAACGGCATTGCATCATTGTACCACACGAGTAATAACAACGCACGTACAATAATACGTTTATTGTTATATGAAAACAGTTCACGTTCCGCAACAGACACGGTCCGTCGCAAATATTGTATCATCAAACCCAAAAACATTGACGGTAGCTCGACGATTGTCCTCTCTCTTTCCGTGTAACAAATTACGGTGCAGAGCGTTTAAGTCACCGAACGTGCACTTACTATTTATTATTTACTGTTTTAGAATGATTATTAGCATAATTGTGCTATAATGGTGCGCGTAGAAATTTAATCACATATATTGTCGATCATCAAATAAAAATTAATTAATTTTTGTTTGAACTACAGTAATTTGCGGGAAATTGTTTTTACTTAAATTTTATAAACAAGCTATGCGACTATGGATCATTCTTTTCTTCTAATTTTAAGATCATTCTTCCCTACATACTCTAATCAATTCTACATTACTTTTTTCATAGCCGCCGCTGCCACTTCAACATATTTGTCATATTTAAAATTGTTTTAGTGATATTACCTGAGACAACTGAGGAAAGAGCTGCCTGAGAAATCCGATAGTCCTCTTGTCCCTGACACTCTTGTGACTAGAATCATCTGCTTCCGCAGCTAGGAAGATATCCGACTCCTATTTTAAACAAAATAATGTCAGATACATCATAGATACTATATGAAAAAGGATAACAGTGTACATTTATGTAATTACTAAATGACAAAAAAAAACTATTAATCATGATGTTTGTTTTTGGCATAAACTATAATAATTAGCATTATAACAAAATAGATATCTTACAATTTTTCAAATTTAGTATTATGTCTTAATACAGTAATAGTGTATGACATCATATTACATTAGTACAATAATAATTACATTTGGTAACTTGTATTAAACATGAATAACACAACATTATGACATTAATCAGGTAGTCGTACGTGTAAACGAAATGAACGCAATTAATCATTTGTAGTTACAGTAATTGGTTCTCAGGTTTATAAAATTAACATGCTCTATTATTAACACATAATCACAGATACAAAAATGGTTTGTAAAATTAACTTTGGACGTTTTGCACAACTACATGGAACACTAGGTTAATTATAAAATGATTGCCACTTGACATTTAGTAGTTTGCATTCTGATAAAAAGTGTTTTTCGATTAATGACTATCGTATTAGTGTATTAGGTTTTTGAAGATCATAAATTACTTTTATAAAAAGATTTTTTGTGAAGAATTGGTTCCACTAGTCATTGAAAATTATGCTAACTTTTTTTATGTCAATCTCAAGGAAAACCAATCTTATCGTTGTGCTAAGACTTCGAAATAAGTTGTAAAAAAAAAACAAACGGAAATTAATTAATTATCTATGCACTTGTCTCTAGATAAGTCGATTATTCAATAATACATACGTTTAGAAAATGTATTGAACTTAAATTAACACAAGTTATAACATTTGTATCAAAATTAATAATTAAACGGCATATGAAAGTTTTCAACGTAAGCGTTGAGCATTGTTCATTTTTAAAGTTAAGAAATATCTTAACATTAATATTTGCACCTACATCTTAAATATTAAGGACTTAAAATGTTTAAACAAACAACTATAAATTATAATTATAGTTTCTTTACAATAGCTGAGCTATCTTAAAAATCATAAACTAAAATATAGAATTTTTAAGTATATTCTGTGTGTAATTAAGTTTATTTACATTCATTTAATTATTAAGTCAGTATTTTAATTATTAAATAATATCTTATATGTAAATCTATAACTTCTGGTAATCTACGTGCTTCCATCTACTAGGTTATTTACTTAAGGTGTATTAATTAAGTAGATTATTTTTTTTAATATTGTTAATTATTAAGAAGTTGTTAGCTCAATGAATGGTCAATGAGTAATCCAACCATTTTTGCATTTTTAAATAATGTAATGCATACATTATATTACTTATTTAAATCAACATTTCATCACTAACTCGTAGCTATTTTTACAAGGTAATTAAGTAATTCAATGTGGTTATAAATGAATGTAATAAGTTTTATAAATTATATAAATAAATAAGTTAATAATAATTTTTAATAGAATTAGTTAAAGCCTGTTTTCCTAAATTAAATCATTTTTTGTCAATAATAGTTATTAGAAAAAACTAATTAAAAAAAACTACCTTACAATTTAAGTTATGAAATTAATTGTAATTTATGACACTGACTGTTATTACAAAAAAGATACTTATAATTTTATTTATTGTTGGCCATACTTAACTATCTAATTAAAATATTTCATCGGAGGACAAATATATTGGTAAATTATAATATTATTATGACGAAGCTTCACTTAAGGCGATCCTTTAAGGTATATAAATTATTAGTATGTTTGTTCTTATAGATTTCGGAGACAAAAACAATAATGTTAAGACATTGAATGTATGATATTAGACGCCATTACTTATGAAATTTTAAAAGACATTTTAAGTAATTCTATAAAAAGCCCTACGTAAGTGTAATAACTATTATTTAATGTAAAACTCCATCATAGTAAAGCAATTGTTGATCATATAAAAATGTTGATGTTTACTTTTCTCGAAAAGAATGTAAAGTGTCAAGAAACGTGTTAATTTAATCAAACGAGACTTAAAGCATCAAAGGTTAATTATTTTCAACTTAGGTATTTAATCAGGTTCATTACAAAAAATCAATTGTAGCTACCAAATTTTTATTAAGCGAAGAAAAAAATCTAATATTTATTTTTGAACATTTGTATGTTATGTATAATACTTTTATGATTTCATATTTTGAAATGTCTCAATTTTTAATGCATAAAATAAATTTAATGTGTAAAATAATAAGGATTTCATATTAAGTAATTATATATATTTTCAAATTTTAAATCAGTTTTTATTAGTTTTACCATGAATTATTTTAAAAATATTATTATATAGCACAACATATACACTTTTAACAAGGTTATATTATATTTACACATTAAGTTAGTACTATTATAATATTCATAGTATTAAAAGTATTTATTATAATGTATAAATAAATGACCTTAAAATTTGTAAAAATAATTAATATTATTTTAAATAACTGACTGATAATTACTTTTTCAAACAAGTAGTATGAATTTTTTTTGTTTTATTATGAATATCTGAAATAGTAATTCATTCACAAATAATACATTAGCAAAATAGTGTTCTTAATATGGTTTTATCATTATGAATGACAGTAATAAACTAAGTGTTGCAAATTATTTACTTCCAAACGTTCATGAAATTTGGACACGAAGAAGATATAAGTGTTTCGAAAATCAAATTAAAATTCGACACAGGATACTGTTGCACAGGAGTCCTTGGATGTATCGATTATGTTATTTATATCCAATTATAATTACACTCGGTCAAATATATGGTACAACATTTTAACTACATAACGTACGGTCTGTGATCTAATCCGATGCACGATGGCAATGGCACGCGGAGGTGAAGAAGCGCCGAACGGTAAAGAGAGAGAGTTTTTACTAATTGCACCGTCGGCAAGCGAGCAACAATTGTAGTATATGCCTATTACACTGTATGGTAGATTTACTTAACAATACAGCACAGAACCATGTAACAAACTTGACCTTAGATTTTTATCTTAACATTATAATCTTAATAATATATGCAATATTTAACCGTGAAAACCATTGAGTAGTATACATCCATTGTTCCATACTGTGTTCAATTCATTACAGTGGATGTTTACAATTCTCACGGTTTTTTTATAATATAATAATATTTTATTGCTAATAAAAACAATTTTTTTTTTTACTCTAATGTATGAATGTATTAATCGTGTTATAGTATAAAATACACATTTTTTATATTATTATGAACATATTTATTAGTTAAAATATGCCTAAATAAAAAAAATAACAGCACTATATTAATGGCATGAATGATAATTATAATTGGACATATTATTGCCTGTATACTCTTGACATATTATTACTGTTAGTAAAAGCGTCAACAATACAGGCGTTTAATTACCTGTCAAAACTAGTTTACACTTTTATAGTGCCTTCTTAGATATTACACAGAGTATCTTTTTTTCAGCCATGAATGTATTATTAGGTTACAATTGGTCATAAGACTAGATAAAGAATATTATTGAATAAATATTTAAGTAATTAGTGTACAACATTTTAATATGCATGTTTAAAATTAAGTGTTTTTATAAAAAAAATTGTTACCTCATTATAAATTACTATTATCAACAATAAGATATTTCAAATGATTTTGATGTCACAATCAATTATTAATTTATATTTTGTTTGCCTTGGCCTGATTCAATTAGGGCATTTAGATGACATCTATAAGGTGTCGAAGTTCTGTGGTGTTACAAACATAGCGAAGAAGAGATTATTAAGGGCTTTGGAGTAAACGAAATAAAAATAAAATAATATTCATTGAAGATTGCTTAAAGTTATAATGTTCAGTATAATGTTTTCGAAATTAAAAACAAAATAGTCATTCCATCTGAATAATAAAAATTAATAACTAAATAATAATTATTTATATAACTAATTACAAATTTGACAGTGAAATTTAATATTAATGCAAAGAAAATTGATAGTATTAAAACTTTTATTTTTTATTTCAATCAATAATATTTAATAAGTACATTATATTTTACTGGGTCTAAACATATCAATATATTTATTAAGACAAATTAAATGTTATTTCGATTCAAAGTGATATTATGTTTAGTAATTGACCTAATTCAATAGAAAATGTTCACGTAGTATTTTATATGATACATTAAACTGATAAACGTTTAGATAACAAAAGCTAATTGAAAAAAAACTAACAATACTTTAGTATAAGTTTAAAGAAATAAATTCCGCTCGTGATTTAGAAATGCTAACAACAAATATCCTATAGGTATTTTTTGAGATACTTCATGATTGTTTTAGCCAATGCGGTTTCTAAATATATATTTTGTACAACAATATTTATATTTTTGGGGACTGAACAACACTAAATTACACATTTTATTTATTTATTTTATAATTTCACGGGCAGAAGCCCTTTTTACAAATAATACAAGTACATAAATTAGGTTATTGTAACATAGAAAGATATATACTAAAAATATGCAAATTAATTACTAAACGTAAAGATAAAAATAAAAAAATGAAAATGAATTTAATTATAAAACATAAAGAAAAATACAATAATTAAAATGAAAAGTTAGGGTCAACATTGGCATTAGTCATAAGACGCCTAAGTGGCTCATTTTTTGCATAATTAGTTAGGCAGTGAGGGACAACAAATGGAGCATTATTTCTTGTTGTGCGCTGAGGTACTCTGAAACATATGAGGGACAACAGGCTCGGCGAATCAATATTACCATTCAATAAACCAATTAAAAGGAAATTAATTCCAGCATTGCGCCTACGCGCAGCTAATGATGATAGGCCAAGCAAATACGATTTTCACATTTATTTCAAGCCTTTGTGTTATACAAAAAATAATGTGTCAATATTTCTAGCTGAGGAGCATATTGAAAATACAGCAGTTAATATAAAATAATGATTTGATGGTTGTATAATATTTTATAGAAGCTAATGATAGAATAGTTCATACATAATACTTAGACACATTTTTTCTGGGTAGTTCCATCGTCATAATTTTATTATTATCTCAGTAAATGAAATAATACGGTACATGCGAAAGTAACAGGTTATTAAATGGGTTTCGAAAAAAAACCTAGCGCCGGATTGCCTTGGACTGTGCGGTAATCTAATAGAATAACAACTGTCCTCAATACTAATAAAGTAAATACAAATTTTTTAGTTAAAATACACATTGTTATTGATTATGCCACAAAATTTAACTAACAGGATACATTTTATTGTAATATAATTTACTGTTAGATAGAAATGTATTGACTCACTTTTTCTATCATCGCGTCCATCGATTGGAGGTCGGTGCTCGCCGGATGGCAATCGGCCAGTTGGTACCATGAGACGAATAGGACCAAACATATATACTTAAATGTCTTCATTTTGAATATTGTTTTCTATGAACAGAATAGATCAATGATTGCATATAAATAAATGATTGACTTTTATTATAAATAATGGAGTATTTGTTATTCAATTGAGTCAAAAAACATTAATATATTATATATAAAAAAAAATTAAATAAAACAGAATTTTATATTATATAAATTAATATTGATTAAAATAAAACAACCCAATAAATTTGATTTCATAAAGCATTATTATTATTATTAATGCCATTTTGTCAATTTATTGCTTTCAAATATCAAATATAAGAACTATTTTACCATGTTTCGTCAAAAATATCAAAAAGCATACAAAGTGTCTCACCAGATTTTAACATTTTTAATAACTTTTACAGTTTTCGAATTCGTTAAAGTATATTTTTTATTAATTAATAAGAAAAATAATTTATAATTTTATTTCTTCACATTTTCAACATTTCAAAAAAACCATTTTCAGCTTTTTTCTGTAAAAAATTGATATGGATTGGTAACAAGTTCTGCATTAGCACTTATTGAGTTATAAGCATTTTCAAATATAGTGTGGGTAGGTAACACGGGTAGGTACAGTTCTTATGAGTATATGTATATTTAGTCCGCATGCACTACGTACTCGCTCTATGTTTTAAATGCTCATAACTCAATAAGTACTTACCTTAAAGTTATTATTGACCCACAAAAAAATGTTTGTAAAAATAGAGCTAAAAAATTACTATTTTAAAATGCCGAATAAATTCACAAATTTATTTAAATTTTTCTTCTTGTTAGAGGCAAATAATAAAAAATTGTGATTTTTATAAGCTCCGTATGTTAAAGCAATTGCTAATCATTTAAAAATTCACAAAAACATATTTTTTGCCCTAAGTATTTTAAGATATATCGATATGATTTTTGTTATTCCGAAGATCTGATACAATTTTATATTTTCGGTTATATAACGTGTTTTCTATCACAAAATATAATTTTTTGTAAGAAATTTTTAAATTTGAGAATATATTATAGCATCATATTATTAAATAAACTGTGTCAAGAGAGTTAAGGTTTACCATAGCCCTAAGCAATATTAAGATTGAATGAAATAAAAATATTTGTAATATTTCAAACTCTATGATTTTTATAACTTATTACGAATTTATATGGTATATGGTAGAATCATTTGATCGAGTTAACATTTAAAAAATATTTGATTTCATAATAAATATAAAGAAGAAAACAACTTTTTTTTAACTCTTATCAGTTGTTAATTATTATCATTAGCCCAAAATGGTGGGAGGGATCTTGTAGAGCTATCATAACCAAAGAGATAACATTTAGATTTCTAATAGTATAAACATTACAAACGAAAAATATGGAGATTTATCTACTTGAATATCTATTGCCATATTTGACCTTGAATATATAGTATGACATATGTAATCTTCTATCGTGATTGCAGATTTTGAGTGGTCATGTTTTTACCTGATATTACATATAAAACAGCTTACGCTGATCTACATACAAATGGTGACGAAAAAATAATATAAAGTCTGTAATTTTATTTAAACTTGTTGGTGGTTTTTTTTTACGAAATTCTACTACGGGATTAAATATTGCTCCATACTCAACGTTGCTGGAGCGGGGAGTAGCTAATGAGGTCATGCATCATTCATATACTAACTAAAAAAATGTATAATGACAAACAAAGTTTGTAGATTATTAAAATAATATCGCGAAGTTGACAACAAAGCAGTACTTTGTATGGAAATTTGAAAATTAATCTGTTTGTAAAAGGACCATCAGTCGTGACTTTAAACCTAGACAACATTTTCACCGGGTTCCTCATAAATCTTCGTTTGTTCTAAGGATGCTGTATACTTCTCATTCCAAGTAAAAAAGAAATCATGTACCATTTATAAGCATTTTTTTTTACCAAAAAAGCCATTGGAAGTGTTTTTTTTTTAATAAATCAATTTGACAGACGTTGGGTAATACATTAACCTAAGTCGGATGACGATCACGAGAATACTTATTATTTTTTTGTTTATTAACTTTTACATACCACGTGTCTTCATTTAATGGAAAACGTGGTTCGCCAGCGCTTCCGATGACCTCTATGTTGTAATTTTTAAAAAAATAATCACGAATACGCGAATCACTTCCATATCTAATTTCTGTCTTCTCTTATGCGTTTTAGACACAAAATAATACATACAATGGTTTATAGAAGTCTGACCAAACGCACTTATAAACATTTATAGCAAAAGTTATTATAATTTATATGCAATGTGCTACAAGTATTTTCGACTAATAAAATGATTTTGCCAAAGTCGCTTTAGGAAGTCATCGTTGGAAATATTAAAAATGATTTGCTCAATCGACTTCCGGATGTTCCTTTTAAGAAACTATAGATTTTTATCGAAATTATCCATTTTTGAATATTTGTCAATCTTAATATAAAGTTGTTTGAGTAGGTCAAGATTGTTTTTTTTTGTAAACATATTTAACAAGCGTGTTTTTTTTAATTCGTGGTAATGTATGAATTTTGTTGCATTTGTATTGTGTAATTCTATTTGATTAATTATAAAATATTTTTACCTAATTTCCATACGTGTATTACTACTGTACTATAGCAAAATGTAGTTGAGACACCAGTTTCATTGCGAAATTTCTATGAATTATGGAGACAATGCAAAAAGTCTAACAGATTATTCGCATTTCATGATTTATAATTAGAGCGAATAAATTTATTATTATTGTTAACATGATTTTTATTCGTATTACTGAAACATCCATTTAAAAATTTCGTCTTTACCTTTTAAATCTTATAATTACTGTTTTATTCAAGTAATTATGAATATAACATGTGCTAGACATTAGGGTAGTGATCGAGAACTATAGTATTTCCGGTTAGATATTATTTAATTTATGAACGCAGTGTCTAAAAAATCGATCAAAAGTGTTTGCAAGACTGGATAACTACTATCGCACATCAATTCTAATAATGATTAAGTGAATCATAAAAAAATTGCAATGGTAATTAAACTAAATGGTGTCTATCTAAACGCTAAGCGTGATTGCTCGTAGAGACTTGGGGACCACGAATAATCAATAGAAAGTAAAATTCAACACACATAAGAGAAGGTTCAGACTACCGGCCACCGACCTAAACAATGTTGTATTTATGATATAACATTAATTTCAGTTTCAATCCACTTTCCTTTTTACACATTTTAAACATATACCTTGAATAACTCGTCCTCCTTATCTTACTTTTGTACTTATGTCGGACCTAAACGGTCACTGATTGTCTCGCCATCTTATTGTTAGTGAAGTATCGTTTGTGTACTGTTTTATGACTGCGTCACAACAAGTGAATAATCCAACAAACTGTGCTTGATAGCTGATTTCGACACTTATTTACCTCTTTAAATTACATTTCAATGACACGATTCAAAGTCAATAAATATTTAATGTACTAAGGTCACCGAGGCATATAACAAGTGTTAAAAATAGTTTTTGATGTTTGGGTTCATATGACATGTTTAGTATTCAAAATTCAATTGAATTTATCGATACAACTTTTTATATTATAGAGTCCTCGCTAATTTTGCTAAGTATTAAAAAAAGAACGACTTGCAATGCCTGCAAGTTTTTTCGGAAGTGTAACGTAATTTTGTTAATAACGGTAAAAACTATTTAAGTTAAAACGAGTTTGGTCGTTTTACGATAGATAATCAAAATGTTATAATAAAATTTTTTGCATTATGTAATTATTTTTTGTAGACTATCGATTTCTTGTCTAAGCGCCTGTGCTCCCGGTCGTGTGTCGAGTGTACACATTCATTCATCCTCTACTAATGCTTTCACTTTCAAGGTCTTTGATTTCCTCGTCCTCAGGTTCAACGATAGTGGCGAAGGAAGTGGTGGTGTTGGTGGTATATCAAACAACGATTTGATAATGCATAAAAATAATAGTATAATAACTTGGGGTTAATCGTGGGAATAACCCAGAGAGGTGATTTGAGACATGCGCCCTTGAATATTAAAGTCATTGTTTTCAATACATTATACTTGGTTCAGTAATTAATTGCTAATTTATTAACGTCAATCATCGCAAATCACCTAGACCGTATAATGGTTTTATGGTATAGGAAAATTTTATGTTTCCTATTAAGATTTATTATTTAAATATAGTAACTTTTATTATAAATAATTAATTAATATTTGGTTATTTAACGAATTTTTAATTTTATTTATTAAACATTTCCTTCAACAACTTAAAAATTTTAAATAAAAACTTTAGACCTCTACTTTAAAATAATTAATATATATTCAAATTATAAAATAAATAATTATGTGAAATACTTAAAATTAAAATCAATTGAATAAAGATTATTTTCAGTAAATACAAACTTGAAAAAAATAAAAAATAAATTAAAAGCAAAGAGGGAAATTTTTCAAATAAATAACAATCTTAATTCTACGCTATTAGAATATTTTTTAAAGATAATTTGTTTCAACTTATTCAATTAATATTCCGGGAAGTGTATATTTTTTAAAATTCTATAAAAAGTATTACGCTGAAAATTACTTAAATTATTTTTGAAATCTCTACTGTCAAAAAAAATATGCTATTGTAGATGATTACAATTAGATGTACTATAAAGATAAAGTAAGATTGTTTGGACTTAAAGTCAATCATTTTCCGATAAAAGTAAAGATATTATGAAAGTATTAAAATAAACTATGAAGAATTGACATGAGTTTATAAAGTAAAACGCATAGTAGAGTTACGAAAACTTTTTTAAAATTCTATACAGTATGTGATTTATACTATGGAAACATTTCGATGAAAATCAGGTGTAGAATATAAGAAATTTTATTACTGAGTGCTGAGTTAGAAGTTATTAGCTCGATAAGGGAATCATGTTGTACACTTGACACACCACTGCAAAAAACGCTTAATGATTAGTCTTTAAGTGTTAAATACGTTATTTACTATATACTAAATAAATCCATTAATTTTCGTGATTTTTAATTCATCGTGTTTAATTGGCGAATATATCATTATAGTAATAATTCAAGATAAATTTTCATTGAATCATCGTTATCAATTGAATTTTGTGAACATTCACTGTAAGTGTACGCTTAAATGTAATCATGTCATTCTCCATAGAATTAAACTTATAATTCATCGACTCCTAGGACATATCAAAATATCATTGTATATTCGAATGAGAGAGGTGATTTTTTAAAATATCATAATGTTAATATTAAGATTTGCCCTTGTAAACGAATTAACGTTTGGTAAATGTTTGAGATGTTAAACTTAAACAACAAATATAAATATAGCAAATGTACTCGAATGATTTTTTCATGACTGTGTGTTAATAAAACTTTGCTAAAATAATATGAAATACGAACTTTAAACGCTGCACTAGGAAGCCGCGTGTGGGGCATATGATATTTCCTATAACACTTTCATATACACAAACACTAATGTAGTGTTTCATTAGAAACATTATAAGCTTAATGAGATGATTTTTTGAAACGATTTAATTAATGATTTCAGATGAAACTAGTATTTTACTCGAAATTATACCATTCCTAAGGATTGAAGAAAACGATTTTCACCGTTTAATTTGGGTCAAGATTAATATTAACAAGATACTCGGGTTAACAACTACTAATTAGAAGCTCAAACTCGGAGACATAAATGGTCGTTTATATAAAGTTTCAATCATTCAAATAGAATATTATTGTAAGTAAAATGTGCTTGATTGTTTCATAGAGAGTAGAGAGTTCATGTCACGATGACAATCAATTTTTTTTTTAATATTCAAACATTGAATTTTTATGTACGGCATATTATTATTGGTTGTTATATGACTTACTGTTTTCGTTCAACCGACGTCGCTTGTGCGGTTTTTTATTAGCGTGTACGGATTTGTTTCGGTACAATATTAGATAGAATACGTCTACACGGGCGCGCACTGGCACATTTCTAGTAAAAGGACCGACGAAGACGATGACTTAACTCGCGTTGTTACCTTGTTATTAGTGCGCTTAGATTTTAAATCGTATAGTGAATCTCTTCTTGCAATGACCACCACTGCCGTCGTAGAAGGGTACCACCGTGGCTCGTGCAGTGTCACGCTTACCAAAGAAGGGGGGGGGCCTGGGCAGTTGACCAATGCCATAATATTATTACAGTGAAAGTAATAGTGGAAAAAATTAACTTAAAACACTTGAGACGGTAAGGTACCGCCCGGTCAAACCCATTTACTCCGCTGACACACGTCCAATTTTTTTCCCTTCTCGGCATACGGAGACAATTATTCTCTTCCCTCCGTCACTTCACCGTTGCTCAAGGCCTGAGTATTTAGATGTTATCAATAAATAGTAAAACTTCGGTAAATTTTGATTTTAAATGTTCAATCGTAATATATGCTCAATATGTTTTTCCGATATAATTGGTGCAAGTTGCATCAACCTCAGGCAATCTATACCTGCCCCACCACCGTCGCTCGTTTTGATCTAATTACTCTTCAGAGTCCATATACTCATACACGCACATACACCAATACACGTATGATTATTATTATTACATCACATTACATATGAGCGGTAAAATATTAAAGTGGACTTCTGTGTGCCGTTGGGTGGGTACTAGATGCAACAACAGAATCCTGTTATTACTCATAATTAAATGTCACGATTCAATTCTACGGTATCAACCCAATTATTATTCATGTGTGTTTGTTTAACATGGTTGCACCATTTTTCACTCTTAAAAAGACGGGTATGGTTACGTATAAATCATAACTTTTAAGCATTTATCTCAGATAAATGAAAAAAGCTAAATTCTTGCATAGAATATTTTAAATGTTTTTTAAGTCTTAAACGATTAATTTGAACAAGTAAAACTAGTTCTACCTATGCTCATTTTAACGATATTCAGTAATTTAATAGTTTTACTTTTTTCCTAGGGTTGTGTAGGAATATTAATATCATAAGTACGTTATGATATTAATATATCTACTAATATCTACTAATGATAAATAATTATTTCTTAGCGATTCGTACTTATTATTATTATATGCTATTATTATATATGGTCTGTGTATACTTCGCAGTATTTAATTGTTTAAGATTACAAATCAATGATTTATAAGAAACATAGTATGTTTTTTACTTTCGGCTAACTATATTTTATTATACACTTCCGTTTAGTACCTACTTTCGCTTTTGTTTGCCGTTCGAGTGCTTATTAATATTAATTATTGATTAATTTACTTTTATTACAGTTATCATGATTCCGTGTTAATGGAACCAAATATCTATTAGACAAGCGCATTGCATTAAAAAATCATTCCAAAATGAACAGGTTAGATAAAATAATGATGTAGTCTCTGAACTTTAATTCACAAATCTCTAATCACGACAAGTGTGCAATACTTGAAACTTAAAGTGCAAAATTTTGTAATAATTTAAGTGAAATACGAACAAAAGATAGCTAATTTTAACACGAATAGTCGTTAAAATATATGACATTAAAAATTAGTAAATTTGGTATAAAAATAGTGACACGAATTGCTATTGACGATTAAAAAGTTTATGTCGCATGTACGTCAGTACATAATAATAGGATTCAATGAGATAAAATAAATTTTAAAAATGGCAAAAGAAAAATATTTTTATTGTATTACATGCAAGTTTAGATGACCCCACGTTTTATTTTTATTCGTACAGAAGTTATGCAATCATCTGACTCTACAGGTTATTTTATGTATATTGTAATCGGTTGTCAATAGAAGTTATTTTCAATTATAAAAAAAAAAAATTAATTATCAACTTTTGTTTAATTATGTATGAAGATAAATTTTTAAATAAAAATTTATGTATACAGGTCGAGCTCAATGATAATACAAATTCATTAAATTTTAATTAATATATTATTTTAAGTATTTTTTTTTTTTTTTTTTTTTATATAATTCTTCTATTTTAATAAAATAATTTTTCCTCTAATAATGGAAGCATTTTAGTGAAAAGTTTTAAAAAATTCAACATTTTAATTTGCTATAGCATTTGTCCAATTTTCTAAACTCGCCCTATTATATTTAAATTGTAAAATAGATTTTAAAATTATGTTATTGAAATGAATATAAAAATAAAGACCATCACTATTAATTACAGTGGATTTTTATTAAAATCAAAACGAAGTTATACAATTACATTTGAAAACTTTTACTAAATTAAGTGATTACGTTTTTTGTGAATCAACTTACTTAAACATCGTTCAATTGCCTCTTAAAATTTTTTTGAACATTTATTTATACTGTTTAATTAATTCACTATCCAAAGTAAGTAAATTTGTTTAATTAGAATCCGAAATAATTTAACTTAAGAATTATTTTTGAATTTATAAAAAATATCGTAATCACAAATTTTATTTTTATTAGTTATCATTTTTTACTGTATGCATTCATTGAGGTCATGTAATACTGAGGAAATAACAAAAGTATACTATCAATTTTTTGTAACATTGTTACATTATAACATTTGCACAACTTATTCAATAAATTCATAAAAAAATATTTGAATTCTCCGTTATTTGAAGCTTTATTATCTTTCAATCATTTTTCGAACAAATCTAGAAAAAGAATAGTTTTTTCTGTGACATCCTTATGAAATACTTGTCTTTTGCAAGAACTCCACAGTTTAATAAAATAACATTAAACAATAAAATCTTATCTTAATGATCACCATAAAAGTACAAAAAAAAATAAAATTTTGCTCTTTAAACATATTAAAGTTGAATGATCATAAAAAAAATCATAAGACATTCTTCGAAACTTTAAATAATTGTATCTTTTTACCATGATATATATTGAATAACTTATAGTTTTTCATTGCTCAATTAATTTTTTTTCAACTTATAATTGTATTAATTATTATTTTTTAATTAATAAGAAAAACAAGAAATTAAAATAAATCCAACAATATATTATAAAATTTTTAAGTAACATTCAATATATTTATGACATGATTGGTGATTTAAAACGTTGTTTAAGTATAATAATCATTTTTTTTATCATATTAAGGCACCAATAAATCATAAAACAAACAAATTCATAATAATTGGTGAACTTTCAAAATTTTGGTGTACTCTAGAATAATCCTTAATTACAATTATCTAAAAAATGTATAGCTATTTATGATAATATTTCTAACTTCTCAATGCGATTACACCTCGATCATAAATTCACTCCAAATAACAAGTACATGTAATTAATTTTGATAAAGTTTGAGAGTTTTAGTGCAAAACTTGAGCAATTCGATAAAAATTTAACGTGATGATCATACTACAAATGGATGTTATAATGTAACCGACTGGAAAATGATTTGTAGTTTGATGTGCATAATTCAACCAAAATCTTTAAAAGATATGAAGCAAGAAATTATACTATTTTCAATAGACTTAATTAATTTTTTTTCAATGGATTACCAAACATATACATATCTACAATGTCTTTTAATTTAATTATAATTAAAAATATTTATTTGGGTAATTATATCATATTAAATTATTTGATTATTATAACTCATTTGAATATTGGATGATTAATCTCTAAAAGTAATGCAGCATTTATACTTTATTTCATTATTTAGTGAAAAAATAATTATGTATTATATAATTAATTAATAAATGTGTAATCAACTGTTTGGTTATGTAACTCGTTGTTGAAATATTTTTGTTTATTTTTTGTCCATTTCGTATAAAATTTAAATAATATTCTACACCTCTAATGTATGTCTGTTGCATTTGACTGTAGTTACTCGTTGATTCTTCATGCATAAAACTTTGCGACAGCGATACTGCAACAACATACTTAACACAAAAGTGCGAATTCGTATATTCTGTAAGATGTGCTCGAAATCGTATTATAATTTATTATAGTTATGGCAATGTTTCATATATATTTTTATGTTGTAATAGACATGACAACTGTAACATGACCATGATTATGTGCATCTATATTACAGGATTGTTCGTACAAATAATTATCAGTATAAAATTGCTATCTCATCTGATTTTCGGCCTTGTTTATGTGGAATTGACGAATCTAGGATAATTTTAGCATACTTTTATTCTGCAAGATTAAAATAAATTCATTTGGATTTGTTTAATAACATAATTAAATGAAATAACAGATTATATGCAAAAACAAAAATATTACCCAATATTTAATAAGCTTAATATTTTGAAATAATGTATCCAGATATATATGTTGTAGGAATTTGTCATAAACTTTATTTCATAAAATTAACCTAATACGTAAGAATCGTATGACTTTTTCTTTTAGGTTTTCAATCCTATAATTTCGCCTGAAATAACTGGAATATTTTTAGGATCGTTATTTAATGGTGGGATACATTCTTTTTCTATAACTAATTTGTACCTTATGTTTCACATCGCGTTAAAAGTATTTCAAAATGCTAAAGTTTATTTAGCAGTTTGATTGAGTGGATTTCTATAAATTTTCACCGCGTAAAAAAATATAGACGTATCTATACATATAGATTGTCTGTATTGTAAATTTATTTTCTATCTCTATTTTCTCTTATGGGTCCATACTGAATTGGAATAAGTTATTAAGACCAAATCAATTCATCAATTAAACTTAGTATTATATATGCCAACTTTTCATATTTGATATATTTTTAACAAATTCTAGGCAAGTAACAAGGTATTATTTTTATATGTGTATTACACAAGGTACTATTATAAGGCTATATAACCAAGGACAGCACTAGTGTAAAGTAAATTAGGCAATCAGCCCTCTCCCCAACCAACAACTACTCTCATACTTGATTCCCTGAAAATTTTGACTACAAACAAATGATTTATTATCATAGGCGTGTTATTAAGAAATTCCACTATTACCCACCAAACTATGCTGTTTTATTCAAGCTATATTAATTGAATCTCACTTAAAAAATTTCAGAATCAGAATTCGGATTATTTATTCTTTTATCTTTGTGACTTTATCGGAATTTTTTTAAAAGAGTATTGATGTGTACATTTCAACTCTCATTAGATTTTAATTGTCAAGAACACTTCGAAATATGTATATAATTATTTAATTTCTTGGTAATTTTTACTAGTTTTTAATAAAGAAAGAGTCATTAAATAATTGAAAATTAAATTGAAATTGTAATATTATGGAGTAGCTTAACAATTTATTTTGACAATTATAAACTTCAAATTGAGAATGAATTCTTGGAATAATTTTAAGCTTTTAACATAATTTTCAAAAAAATTTGTATTTTCGAAACATGTAATTTCTATTGATGTTAAATGCTTATCCTGGCAGTTAAAGATATATCCACAAAAATGAATAAACAATTTTTCTGATGGGGGTATTTAGTCTAGCTTCTCTAATTATTTTATTCTAGTTGCATCTATGCATAGGTTCATGATATTCTAGTAATAAGGTGCCACATTTGTAAGTTTCAACTGTTTCTCTGAAAATTGCCATTTTATTTTTAGCAAAAAATTTAAGATTATCAGTCTTTTAATGGTTAACCATTATTGAATAATTTTTAATATATAGTTCATCCACCCTAAAAATAAAATAGAAAGACACTCCTGCTATATCATTTAAGCTGAATACTTTCACATCACAAATAATTATCAGAAAAGTGTGAGATAAAACTGAATAATTTTAATTAAATAATTATTAGTTTCTACAACAAATAATATTATTTCAACTATTATAATGCTAATTAATAGCATAATTATTGTAATTAATTTTTTTTTACTTTTAAATCTTAAATTTGATTTTCAATAATTAATGTGGTTTAATTTCTTTAATCACTTAGCCTTAAAGTAAAGAAAAGTACTTTTTATTGTGATTTTTACACTTTTATGTAACAGTAGTCTTTTCTTGTATCTATTATTAGTTCAATACTGTTTTTATTTTAACTTATAGTTTACTATAATTATGCTTTTTATAGCATAAGAAAAAAATTAACTTATGTTTGTAGTCCGGAATATTTTCAAAATTAAGTTTTGAACCTCCTCTAATAGAGCGAGTACTCTAAAGTATAAAATACTACCCTACTATTTTCTCTAATATAAAGGGATTCTATATAAGGAGAAATGATCTGATTTTATAAAAAGTTACATTACTTATATACTTATGTTATATATGTAACAAACTTAAATAAAAAAAAAATAATAATAATACTTTCACTGCTCCTCTGACAGTCATAAGAGGTATCTATTGAAGTTGCGTCATACGGCATAAAAATTTGTCAAAAAGTATTAGAAGTCCTGAACAAAACTTAGACGGATTGTCCCATCTCGAATGTACACAGGGACAACAGGTGAGAGTAAATAAAGTAGTTAGAAACGGAGAAGACCTGAAGAATAAAGCGTTTGATACCAGCTGGTCAACTTCTGTGGTAGCTGTTTTGCCAGCCATATGTACAGGTCTACCCAACACTCGTAGATGTAGGGATATTATCACTCAACTCTTGACTAGACTCGTGTATAAGGGAGAAAGATAGTTACAAAGTAAAAATAGGTACGTAGAATATTGGAACATTAACTGGTAAAAGTAGATAATTAGTAGAAGTATTGAAGAGGAGAAAATTAACATTTGCTGTGTGCAGAGAACTAAGTTGGGTTCAGAGAGAAAACAAGGGCAATAAATGACGGTTATAAAATAATATACTTAGGTAAGTCTAATACAAAAATCGGTGTAATATGAATAAAGAATGGGGTAATAATGGATGAGGAGATGAAAAGTAAAGTAGTAAAAGTAGCTAGGAAAAGTGACAGGATTATTATTTTGGATAAAGATTACACTGCAATTTTTATTTTACATGATAATATCATCAAAATTTACCGTGGAATATCTATAAATAATAATAGAGCGAAGTATGATATAATAATTTTTTTTTTAGTGTGGTATTATAGTCGTCAAACTTTAAATACGTCTCCAACCATAGTAAAATAAATACTTTCTCAGTTTCGTCTATAAGCTAAAATAATCTAATTAAGAAAATGACTGGTTGATAATAATATTAGGACCAGCACTTGGAAACTATTAATATTTTTATAACTGGTGTGAGGAGGGGTGCAGTCGAGTAATTTCTAATGATAAATTTTGTTATACCGACACCTATATAACCTAAATTTTATAATTTATAATGGTAGTAACTTTCAAAATAATTAGTCAATAGTTGTTATCGACCACACACTACTCCTTCCGCTTATCTATAAAAATGTTAATAACTTTCGAAGTAGAGGTTAAAAAATTATTTTCTTAATCAGATCATTTTTAATTTCATAATCTAATTAAATATGTGTGTTATCTTATAACAAATTTTCAGTTATATAAGCTACACGGGATGAATTTAAAAAGAATTAATAACTGATTAATCAAGAAATATATGCAAATAAAAGAATATCAAAAACTTTTTTTTCAATATTGCATCTATTTTGAGAATAATCGAGTAATTTTAACCTTATATATATATATATATATATATATATATATATATATATGTATATAGTTACTATTAAAATAATAATTGTATTAAAACAAATTATTTAAGCTTTGTTTAGTTTCATATTTAGTTGGCACACTGGCCTTATATATTAATATTAACACCTCATTTGGCGTGTTAATACCCCTTCTGTATATTAAATTGAAAACTAAATTCTTGAAATCTCTTAGTTCAAAAAAATATCCTATCTAGTATTATACATTACATTTTTACACATAAGAGGTTTTTATATCTGGAAACTTTAAAATACACACTAAAAAACCTCTTTTCAAAGAAACGCTGTGAACCAAATTTTTTTCTGTTTTAAAGAAGTTTGTGTCTAATAGAGACTCCGTTGAAAAGAGGTTTCAACAGATTTTGTTAATGAATAAACACGATTTGTCAAAAGTTTTTGTTTTTATTCAGTAAGAAACAGAATTTATATACTAGTCATTTTAATGTGATAGGTATAAAATTGATATATTACCATTGTATAATAAATATGCCATTCTTACACTCGTAATATGAAAACTGACATATATATGACATCAAGTGACGTTACTTTTACAAATTGTTCATAAATCACTCATTAGGATGTGATTTATACTTAAGGATATACTTTTTAACTATAATGGGATAAAGTATATTTGTACTATCACTTTTTTAGAGTACAAAAATTTTTATTTATATGATGTCATTCTCTACATAACAGTTAAATTTGTCGATTACACTAATAAAGACTGAATTATGCAAAAAATTAGAATCAGGAAAAATCGACGTATTTATGTGTTTTATTGATTATTCAATTAAATATGCAATATAGAGTAAATAATAATATAATATATTTTGTAGGATATACATTTTTAAACAAATTTTATTCAGTACATTTTTTTGATTTAAGTAAAATTTAACAAGTTATACATAAAAAACTATTTTTTACCCCTATTTATTAAATTTCAACCCTTCTGCGGTACGAGAAAAAATCATTGGACAATCACGAAACTTTAAAAAATTTATTTTTTTAACCTATAGAACAATTCTAGGGGGCATCCGGACAAAAAAAACTTTGAAAAATAAGAACCACCTAATATACAGGGTGATTTTTTTATCATAACCCACTCAATTACTTACAGAAAAATAATAATTAAAATTTTTTTTTTATTATTATCTTTAGTTACGCATTATTCTTGAATTATTAACTATGTAGTACTTTTTAAATTCATCCCTTATGCTTGGTAAGGGTGTCAACTTTGTTTTTTTAAATGGTAACACATATTTTTAATTTAATAAAATGTTTGAGTTTTTAATTCAATAATAAATGGCATTTGAATTTTTATTAAAACTTAATTTGTTTATTAGATATAAACATTTAAAGTTTCAAATTTTTGAGTTAATATATAGGTATAATACACAAGGGATTACAAATACAGGTAGCTAATTAGTTTTTTATGATATTGCTATCACATTCACGGATTGTCTATTATCAATTATGACTATCAATAGATATACTTTTTGTATTGTCAGTTAGTGTATTTATAAACTCACAACAATGTACCTTACTATCATTGATAATAACAATGCTGTGTACCTGCTAATATCGATGTCATAAAAAATCAATTATCTTATCTTCTATGTGCAAATGGCTGTCGAAAATTAAAAAAAAATGTAATGTTTGCGATAAAAATTACCTTTTATCGGGATCTTTTTTGTACATAAAACTGCCATAACTTTTTCAAAAATGAACAAATAAAAATAATATTTTTTTATATCGAAACCTTATGTAATTTCTTTTCATTTGATATAATTTTTTTTGAAAATCTAACACTTATTCTGCTCACTGGGGGGATTTAAAATAGTAACTTTTTTACAAAAATAACTTTTTCAACTTAACAAATTTTTTTTTTTTTTAATTAAACACTATCTACAGATTTGCATCGAAGCGTTTTTTATGATAGTGATTTTAATCACTGTCAGATATCATCTATACTGGACCCAACTATGCCACGACCCCACTGTGGTGCCACCCAACTAAGCTGGGTTTTTTTTTTTTTTTTATGTCTGTTGCCACTTTTTTTATATTATAGAACATAGGATACTATTAACTTCTAAAAAGAAAAAAATTATAAGATGTTCTATATTTTTAAAGATTTTACATGATGTATTTTTAATCAATCAACTTGTAGAAAAAAATACAATAAGACCACGATTAAATGCACAATATGAATTTATGATCGTTTTCCAGTAGTATTTAAGACGATCGTTAGCGAATGGATCATATTTTCCCGCCTAGAGATTATCTAAAAATTGAAATGATATAAATGAACAGTGTTTATCATATGATATCTCTTATCGCTTATTTGTATTGATTATTTACATCAAGTCTTTCACCTTATTTACGTTATTAAAATTAAATAAAAAACTGTAGTCATAAAATTTTAGTTTCCAATATAAAAATTGATATTTTAGAACTTGAAATCTTAACTATATCAAGTAATATTGTTAGAAAGTGAGTGTTTTTTTTAAGTCATGTGTTTTTCTGTATAGTAAAATTGTATAACATAGTTTTAAACTAGAAATATTTTTTTTACATATAGTTTTACAAAGTAACTATGAAAACTAATTTTAAAGTAACACTAAAACTGTTTTGACTACATTTGTATTAAACAATGTATGATAAGCTAAATTTTTATTAGTATTTGTCTTATATCAACTAGATTTTGTTAGATATGTATGCTGATAGCATAAATATCATAATACATTATAAAAATATTTTATTTGTGAAGTGTGACTTACCAAATTCTTTGAATTGTTTCTTGATTTAAGCTTTTGTAAATACTAATAAGCCATTTATTCATTGTATAATGTTGTTGTTAAACCCTTGTGCATTATTATTATATAATTACATTTTTTTTTATTTAATAAATACTTCCTGCTATAATAACTTTTGAATGTCTTATTTTTGATAATATTATTATATACATAAGATTTAAATATATAATGAAAACTTAATAAAATGAAAAAATAATTTATGATAACTTGTATAATCTGTTTTTAAACTTTATTTAATATTGATGTTATAATTTATTTGTTTCAGAGTTTCAACAGTCGCATGGAATTGTCTAATATTGAATATTATGTAATACTGTGTATTTTAATTGTCCCAGTATATTACTTTTTTCAACTTTGGGCATGGCTTGGTTGGGAATTGTTTAAAAATAATTAATATTATCTTTTTTATTTAAGTTCATCTACTCAATTATGTCATACAGGTATATAATTATTGATTATTAATTTATAAAATATATGAAGATTATATAAAGTTTCTGTAGGCCCTTAGGTATTTTTTCTCTAAAGTTAGAGTACTTGTACTTTTATGAGTTCATAAAGAATAATTGTTGTAAAATAGTGTTATTTTTAATAGCTGCATTTACGCTTTGCATACAAAAAATTTATTTTATTTGTTATTTTGTTAGTAAAAATGTGATCTACATAACAAATACTATGGTTGGAATTTGTGTTTCATGAATATACCACTGTTCTTCTTTGATATTTATTAAATACAATATTTTTTATGTATCTATAAGAAAGGAGAAATTAATATCTGACGTATCAAGGTAGCCTCATAAAGTTTTGGACCTAAGGCAATTGTTTAACCTACCTAGACCAAAATAAATAATGCTAAATGCACAATCATTGAGAAAAAATGTTCTATTTTATTTACAGATGCTTTTTAAGCATATTTGTAAAAAGCTCTAGTTTTTAAAATTTTCCATAATAATTATTTTTTTCAGCAGCAATGAAAAATTATATTTTAAGTGTTCTGAATTTGATGATTCTCGTAAAGATTTAAGAGAGCATGACAAGTAATTATTAAAATAAGTATATTAAATTCGACAACAAATATTTAGATATCCATTTATTTTTAGACATATTCCAAATGTGTTCACAATACCAAAATGTATCTTTAAATCATCGGGCATATATCCATCTGAAGTTATAGAAAGAGATAAGTAAGGTTATTTTAATAGTTAATATGATTTTAAATTTATGTTGTTTTTTTTTATTGTAGGACAATCCCCAATGTATTTCAAGCTATGAAAGCTGTTAGTTGTGCAAATACACCAACTTCTGAATATGCTGTTAAATTTGTGTAAGTAAAATATAAATATAAGGCAAAAGGGTCTAAGCGACACAATACAGAGCAATATAACTTCATCGGATAGAAATAACAAAGGTGCATCATAAAAATTATCTGGTATTCCAGTGTGAATATTTTATACAGTATAAATCATTTTATTCTATATATTTCTATTTTATTTATAATATGGTCATTCCATGTGAAATCACCATGAAATCATGTTTGCTGCTATAGTTCAAAAATCTTTTAAATTTTTATCATAGACTTTTTAAAGGTCATTGACTACAAAAATAATATTTTTTTTTTGTTTTTTTTACCAGATAGCTCATTTTTTATAATTAAAAACATGAAAAAACACCTAATGTTCTAGAGCTTATAACCTCACATCCAAATAAGATATCACTGTGGAACTAGCACTGTTTTACTCATATTAAATAGTACTTCAATTTCATTTTTAAGTAATCGAAATTTTGATTTAAATTTTGCAGTATTTTAATAGCAAAATTTGAAAGTCAAAAAAAATTGTTTTTTCCTTTCAGAAACTTTAAGTTATGTTCTTTTAACCCATATCATAATTAAACGATTTATCTTTTTTTTTTGTATCGTTTTACAGTCTTGAACACACATGGTTTGCTGAAAATAGGCAACTTTATCATCTCATTACACAAAAGTGACTAAACAAATTTTTGTTAAATTTACATAGTACTTACCTTTAAGCAATTGAAATGTGTAGTGAAAATTTGATGATAAAGAAATAATTTTAACGCTACTTATAGATTTTACAAAATTTACAATTTGCATATTATAGAAAATCCACAAACTACGTAATTTTCAACACTTATTTTTTATTTTTTGTCTGCATTCTATACTAGATTAAGTTATTGAAACCCATAACAAAATCCTTTTTGTAAAAATGTAGTCAAAGAATCAACAATATCTATTGATGTAATTAACACAATAGATGTTTCACATTGAATGACCCAATAAGTAATTTAATAAGTGGTTCCAATGGCTTATTAAAAATCAATTGGTCTTATATATGATAAAATATGCTCAATTTTTTTTTTTTTTTAGAAATTTCAAAAAAAGGGAATCACAATAGGAATGTAAAAAAACTAAAAATTGTTTTTTTTCTATTCTTGAAAACCTAAAAAAATGTCGCTGGGTCCCCTTATGACTTGAAAGTGATGATATGTCTTAGAATTTTAGTTATTTTATATATTTATCTTTTTATATATATACAAGGTGGCCCATAATAACCTTTCACATTTGTTTTTTTAATAACCCGGCGAAAATTGCATTTACAGAGATAATTTAAGTACTAAAATAAAATAGAAACATGCCGTTTTTAGATAGTATATTTAAATTACTTTTACAATTTAGGTCATAAAAAATTATTCCCTGCAGATGATTACCCTAAATTTTCATGCATTCAAACAAACGTTTTTTTATGTTTTCGAACACCTTCACCAGCATATTTGTTCCAATAAGGCCCGATTCTCGAATAATGTTGTTCTTGAGTTGTTCCAAAGTCCTAGGCTTGTCCGCATACACTTTGGACTTCAAATATCCCCATAGAAAATAGTCGCACGCCTATTAGTCGTGCGACCAACAAATTTCGGTGTTCCGCGAAACTTGTCTGTAGTGGAAATGTTTTTGCAACAGTTCAATCGTTTGTTTCGTGGAATGGCAGGTCGCCCCATCTTGCTGGAACTAGGTAGCTAATAATTTTCGACTACATTTAAATTCGGGTACCAGAAACACATTCAACATTAAACAATAACGCTCGCCGTTAACTGTTCCATCGGACACGTATAGCTAACCGTTAGCTTGGGGGAATAAAGAGGCTTCTCTTGCACGAGCATTGGATTCCCATTAGACCAGTACCGCATAATTTGCTTATTTACATCGCCATTGAGGTAAAAATGAGCCTCGTCAGTAATCAGTAAACAGTCTGACGGAATTTCGCCAGAATCAAGTTTCTCGAGCATACTCTGAGCAATTGATTTTCTTGTTGCTGGATCAGTTGCTTCCAATTTCTGAGTGATTAAAATTTTATAAGCATGGAAATTAAGGTCATCGGACAAAATTCTCTGCAGAGAAGTTTTCGTGTTGATCTAACAGGGCTAATCTATACTGACTTCTTACTTCTTCCTCCATTTCTGGAGTTCGTACAGAAATTTTTTGAACACTCGGTTTTTTTTTACACGCATCACCACTTTCCTCAAAGTTTTTTATCCATATTCACTGTTGGTTGCGATGTAACCGCACTTTTTCCGTCAAGATTAAAATTTTTACTAAACTCACGAATTGCACTCATGTAAGAGTCATTATTCTTATAATAAGCTTTTACGATAAACGCACTCTGAGCACCCGTCCACTGCTCCATTATGATAAAATCGCAAAGAAATATAATTAGGCATCGTCTAGCTATCTGGAATTGGATTTACCGTTCTACTACCTTTTTTTGAACAAAAGTTATTTATAAACTAAATGTAAAAGGTTATTATGGACCACCTTGTATATAATTATCTTGTTAAAAACAAAATTTATATGTAACTAATTAAAAAAAAAAACTCAATTTATTTTAAATGTAACTATTAATTTTTAATAATAACTAATAACAATAATCATGAAATTCAATGTTTTTAAACTAAATGAGGTTTTAACATCTTAATAACACTTTGATCTAGTGAATATTTTCTATTAATTATTATTTGATTTGAATTTTTACAGTTTTACTATTTATATTTTTACTATTTGTTTTTCTAATCAGAAAAAAAAATTATTATTTTTTGATATTTTAAAATAGCTATTATTGCTTTTTTCATACAAAACATTTTGATACATCATGTAGTTATGTAGCATAGATCGGTACAGTTTGTACTAGTGTATATTTATAACACATTCCCTGATCATACTATATACCTTCTCAAAAAAAAATGGCATTTTGAATAGATATGTAATAATAAAAACAAAATTTAATTTTTTTGTATTAGTAATATATTTAAAATAATAAAAATATTTTTTGAAGGCATGCCAAAACTGTAAAAATAAAAAATAAATAAAAAATTTACTGGTTTATAGGTTATTAAATTTGTTAAAACGTGTGGTATACTTGTATATATATATATGTATTCAGTAAGTAAGGTAAATGGTTTTCTTACTTATTAAACACTACATATATATATTCATTTAATAAATTTTAATTTATAATTTTTTTGTCTTCACATTTTAAGTTAGTCATGGTTTTAAGAGATGGAATAGAGGGTTGCTATCATTATTGATCTAATAACTTTTAATTTTGGCTATAATTATTGTGCCCAATAAATATTTTTCTTAATTGGTTTAACAGACATAAAATCATTCCTATGAATATTAAAAATTTAAATATTGTTTAAGTTCTTCTTAAGTAAATGTTAAGATGTATTAAGTATCCATTTAAGTATTATATTCAGTTAAGCCATTAATTTATTATCCAACTTATTGTTTATATTTCGCTAAATAATTATAGTTGTTTTTTCTTAATTGAAAAAAAAAGTTCTTCCTTCATTTAAATTGGATATTTCTGAATATCCATTCACTAAAAGTTTTGGAATTTAAGTAAATCAAATTTAAATTAATAGAAAAAATTTTTCTTACTGATAACTGATGTAATATTTTTCATTTTTGTAATTTTTTTTATAAATAAATTATAAATTATACTTCCTTACTAATCAGTATGTTATTTTATTGCAATAACGAATAATATATTCTCATTACTACAATATATTTAATTTTAATTAATATAGTTTAAGTAATGTGTACACTTTTTCAGTAATTATCCAAACTTGTTCACATTACCCAAGTCATTGTCAGAACCAAGTAGTTTCAATGATTACTTAAACAAACACAGGTAAAAAAATTTTCAATAAATAATTCCTTTTTAATATTTATATTATGCAAAAAATTTAGACACATTTTTAACCTTTTTTAAATTTATTTTTATAATTTAAGTTACTCATTATTATTTTATATGCATGTTTTTTTTGGATTTGTCATTTGTTGTAGCAATAATTATTCAAATATATTTTTACTATCAAGTTTATTGAATAGTGAGTGTGAAGATCATGTAGAAAAGAAATATAGGTAATAAATTAAAGTAATACATTTTTTATTTATTTTTTTTAACTTAACATTTTTTTGTGCTTACATAGATTAAAATTTATTAAATAAGTATCTTTAGATGTATTCATGTTTAAATTTTGTGCTGAATTTATGAACGAATATTATTTTAAGAACTGTGTAATTATTTCTAAGTGTCAGTGAAAATATTCAAAACATGAATATATCATAATATAACTTGATGTAAAAAGTTATTATAAAAAAATTTTAACTGATTTCAGCAATGATAAAAAATCTGTACATAATGATTTAAACCAGACACCAGAAAGAGTAATTAAGGTAAAAAAAATATGTATTTTTTTATTTTTAACTTTTTTAAACTAGACTTTTGAATAGAAATAAATAAAAAATAAACTATGTAAATTTCTAAGAACAAAAATTATTCAGTTTTAATGTATTAATTAAAACTAAATTTAGATTTTCACACTATAGTTGTTATAGTATATAAATTTTAGTTAGTATTTTACCATTTTAGTATTTAATTTTAACAATTTAACACTTATTTTATTTTAGAAAATAGTAAAAGAAGAAGATATGAGTACTGTTAAAGCTATGTGGTGTATTTTAATGGCAAGGACAGTATGCGAAAATCCAAACAAGTCATTTCCAATTAAAGAAATTGATACTAATGATATGGTAGTTGACATTAAAAGATTGTTGACTAATCGAGGAGCTGAATATTTTATTGAAGACCCTGTAATAATTTTTTTTTAATTTTTAAAACAAATATTTATTTAAATCACTTAATTTTGTTATTAAATTAACATACTTCATATTCTTAAATTTGGATTATATTCAATTAAATCCTTTTTCAATTAAATTTTTTAATGAAGTAGTTGTAGAATGTGATGGTCTCAGGCCTATGGGGGCTTTGTCCCCAAATATTAGAAACATTACCTGTATTTTATAAACAAATATTTTTGAGGATGAATGAAGTTTAGAAGTTAACTTCTTCAACATTTTGTTCTAATCATGCTAATCAAGATTTAAAAAATGTAAAATACCTTTCAAACTATTAATAATATTTTTATTAAAAAATAAAATCTAATGTATACAAAACAAATAAATTTTTTTTTTTTTTTAAAGCATTTTAATGAATATAATAAGCTCTATAAAATTACCTTAAAAAATAATTAAAAAGTGGAGGTTTCTTAACTATGGATACTCTGACACAAGTGGTTATCCCTACGTTGAAAAAAGGGATGGCAACTCTTTGTGTCTAATATATACTAATATTTTCCTATAAAGAAATTTAATTTTATACATTTATTCTTCTTTAGATTACAAAAAAATATAAACTTAATGGAATGTTCAGCATTTATGGTATATCACCAGATATTTTTGAAAATATAACTTTTGGAATACTGGAATGTGCAAATTTATTTAAAGCACTAACAACTTACAAAAGCTTATGGGAAAATGATACTAAAGATAATATTACTTTGGTAATCAATAATAAGAAATATCATTTATTTCTAAAACATTTATTAACTCTTTTAATTTATTTTCCAGAACTTTATGTTTACCTTATCCCAAATATTATCAGATTTTGAGAGGTCAATTTATGCAGTAACGGATGATACTTTGTTTGAACTTGTTGGCCGTTTAAAGCAATTTGTAAATCAACTACAGATATTAGCTAATATTTGTGATATTTGTATTAATGAATTTATTGATATGCCTACTCAAAGACCGTCTGGTGTTCACTTATTGAATAAAGTTCATGATTATTTAATAAATTATCAGTTAAGTCATGATGTATTCTTGCGTATGTTGATATACATTTTTGATTATTGTTGTATGTTATATTTCAGGTACAAATTTAAATTATTTATTATTACATGGACTATTAATTTTATATAAAATTTATTGAGTTATTTTATTTGTAGAATTTTATCAGATTGGACTTTGAAAGGTGAATTAAATGATCATTCATGCATGTTCATTAAAATGTATTTAAAAAATAATGAAGAAGAGTCCTGCTTTGATAATAATTACGATGATTATTATATTGATGAAGATGTTGCTGTTCCTGATTTTTTTAAACAATTCAAAAATGATATACTATGTTGTGGTCGCAGTGTGTATTTATTAAACAAACTTAAAGATATAGTAAAAACTTTAAAATTATTTGAAAATTAAAAAATATATTAAACATATTTAACTCAATTTTTAGAAAATTTTTTCACAACCAACATTTACTTGCTGCTTTGATCATGATGATACTGAAGCTATTTACATCAAGTCATGCAATATATTAAAATGTAATTCTGATCCTTCACCTACTAATGTTGTAAATGGTAAGGCAACTTATGTAATCATAATTTTATACTTTTAACTGGCTTTATTGCATTATAATACTAATTAAAAAAATTTTGCTGAGATAAATATACATATATCTCAGCATAGATATGCACCTACAATTTTTTAATGAAGGCTAATAGCCTAACAAAATTTTTTGTGACTTTTTAGTTATTTTTTATTTAAAATATAAATCATAGCCAATGGAGAGGCTTTGTCATTTAGCCTCCTGCATATGCCACTGTTAATGTATATTTGTTTTATATGTTAACATACATTCAGTGTTAAATTTTCTTCAGATGTTCTATGAGCATTAGCAAAAAAAATCATTTTTTTAGATCTTAATATATAATATAAAAATAAATAAGAAAAATAAATTTAAATAATTGATTTAAAATTGTGTTATATTTAAAAAATATTTAAACTTCTAAGAAAACTATCAAGTTATAGTTAGAACCCATCCTGAAATATATTTGGATTCAACACTGAATATTTTATTATAAAGATAATCAGTGATATAAGTTTTTATATTTCCAAAGATTACTAAAAACTTAAAAAAATTAAAACATGATAAAACAATTACTTATGCTTAATTATAGCTCTAAAAGAAGGAAAAAATAATATCAGTTATCATTATCTCTTAATATACAGGTTTTCTACCATATTATGACATCTTTAATAAATTTTAATGCAGCAAATATTTTACGTTTCTGTTTTTTTTAATAATTTGTATAATTTTGGACTATGTTAAAAGCATATTTTCTATTATTTGTCTTAAATAGGAAAAATTATTTTTTTTTTTATTTTAAAATTGCCATTTTTAATCTTATATTTACAAAAACTTTGTTGAGTAACTACAACTTTTGGATAAGACTAACACTCAATAGGTACTTAGTACATATTGAATTACAAGCATTTTAATACATAGAGTTGGTATGAAATGCAGGCGGAGCACAGTGGTCAAAAAACTTTAAAAACAACCAAAAATCATATTTACATTATAACTAAAAATATTGTTAAATAAATTAACATGTATGTTTTAAAGTCATTGAATCAAAATTGTATATAAATTTTTAAATTTCAGCTCTTTTAAATGAAGTCGGTAAATATTTTTTTTTGTAAATCAATTTTTTAAAAAAACTTTTATTTTAAAGGAAGCTGGATCTAAATGTGATATCAGTTTTTAGATTTGAAGAATGATAGGGAGGGTTTGAAGTGTAAAACTCTAATTTACCCTCATTGGATATAAATAAAAAAATGTTATATGTTACTAAATTTTAATTATCTAAATAGAATTGCTCATAATTAGATTCCAGATTATATGTATTTTAAAATTATTTTTATTCCAATGACACCATATAATAGTACAAATTTTTATTTTCTTCGTTCCCTGTAAATGAAAGAAAATCCCCAAAAAATTACAATTTTTAAATTCCATAAATTTTGACTTATTTTTTTTTCTTAAAAATGCTATTACTTTTTCAAAAATGAACAAACTAAAATAATTTTTTTCTTTATAAAGAAACCTTTATTTTCCTTTCATTTAACATACATTTTTTCAAAATCTGACTCTTTACCTGGCCACAGGATCGAATTCACAATATTATCTTATTTTTGAGATTATTCCTAATTAGAAAGCAAGTATTTTTAAATGAAAAAATTTTATTAAAAAAAAATTTTCTATCAAGTTATTATTAATTTTAAAAAATTATTAATAAATAATTTCAATTCAAAATGTCATTTTTAATTAATTTAATTAATTTTTTTTTTTGATCCTTTAAAGTTGATTTTTATAAAAATTTAAAGATGTTGAACTTTAAAACACTATTTTAGCTCAACTTACCACTTTAGAATTTACATTATTAAATAGACAATTTTATGAGGAATAAAAAATTGTATTTTTTAGATTGATATGTGATCAGAAACTTGTATAATTACTATTAACAGTAAATTTATTAGGAAAAATCAAAATTTTGTGAAAATCACAATTTTTTTTTGTATTTTATTGAAATCATTTAAATAAAAGTATTAATATTCATTTCTACGTAACCCTTAGTGTTAAAATAGATGCTACAATTGAAATATTTAGAACTATATTTCGTGTAGTTAAATACAACCAATCCTATAGTATTCTATAATATATTGATATTCAAAAATATACCGTGCCTAGTTTCACTTATGATTTTGTCTACTGTTACATTGTTGAATTTAATTGTAACCTATATTTTTTGTTTTTTTTTTTACTTATAANGTCCGCGATACGCTACACGACCGCTACACCCCGCCGCTGTTGTCATCGTGTATTATGTTTACTTCGATTATTTTATTTTTCCTTACTGTATATACATATATTTTCTTTTAGTGTTTATACGTCTATTTTAGTGTTATAATTTTGTTTAATAAAAGTCTACCGCCATTTAAATAATTGTGTGTTGTAAGATATAACCCACAAAATCATAGAAATTTTAATTAGGAATAATGAATGAAATAGGAGTTAATTTTTCTTTTGGAATAATCCACCAATTTTTTAAAATTAAAAACTTTCTACTGATTTGCATTAAAGCATTACTCATGAAAGTGATTTTAATCACTGTCAGATATCATTATACTTGATCCAACTATGCCACATCCCCACTGTGCCGCGACCCCACTGTGCTGGGGTTTTTATTACTGTATTTATCATTAAAAATATCGAAAATATACTATGACTGTTCAAATTAAATTAAAATTATAGCATCAATATAATTGTATCATTAGTAATATTTAGAGTACTTAAAATTTAATTTAAATTAAGGCCGTAGAATATGTACAACTTTTTTTCTTTAAATTAACACTTTCTTAACTTTGAAATTATGAATTTTGGCCACCTTTATTTAATTTTTATCTGCTGTGCTTAGTATACATATAACATTTTAGGCTGCACCTATCTGTGTTTCATATCTACTTTATGTATTACAATACTTATAACTTGATAAGTAGTATTAAAATTAGCATCGACACATTAAAATTTTTTTTTTTTTTTTTTTAAACATACTTCTGTATGTTATGATTATTTCTTTGAAAATAATTATCCTTAATTAATATTTCTAATAATCACGGGAAAGGACTTCATTTGTATAATAATTAATAATTTAATGAGAATTTTTAATTACCATAAGAACATGTTATAACTATTTTTATTTATGTATTTTTTCAACACCCCATGATAGATGGTTAAAAATAATTAAAAATTTATAATATTCTCAGAAATTGAATGGCTTAATGCAACTACCAGATAAGACTACTTTTTTTAAAATTTTTTAAGAGAAGCAATTTTATTAAAATCAATAGAAAACTTTTCTTTCTAAATTATATATTTCCTCAAATAATAGAAATATAGAACTTGTTTTTTTACTGATTACTTAAAAAAATCATATTTATTCAAAATTGACAAAAAATTATTTTCTGAAAAATTTGGACTTATTATGGAATTATTATATTGGTAACTAATTACTAAATTTACTAAATTTTTTAAATTATGGTGTGTTCAACATTGAAGTTTTAGTTGAAAGTAACATTTATAATTATTTAGAACAAAATTACTTATCTGTCTTTGAATATTTAATACATTTAAATAATTACTGATTTTTTTTTTTGTAGTTACAATTCTACAAAGTTAATAATGCAAGAGTTAATTTTTATTTTTATTATGTTACAGAAGCTCCTAATATTTTTGTGACACCAGATTGGAATAATGTTGAAAAAAATGATTATGATCTCAACAATCCTTATGGGTTTTTTATGGAAAATAATAAGCCATTGATATATCATAATAAACCAATTGATATTGTTACAATGCTGGATTGTATACCCTATACTTTACTTATACCATCAAATATAAAAAAAAAAAATTGCAATAAAGAAATTTTAAACATTATTTTGAATGAAGAACAATTAGTAAACAAACTTAATTTTCTCTCACAGTGTTTCTTCTTAGTAAATAGTCAATTTTCTTCAAAGTTTTGTGATAATTTGTATGAAAGTATATCAATTAATCGTAAAAAATCGGACCATCTATTTAATTCAAATCGTTTAAGTTTAATCTTAGATGAAGCCATTCAAGATAGTTTTACAAAAATAACTCCACTTAACATAACTATTATGGTAGTAGGTGAATTGTCTTTAGATGATTCAATACAAATTGAAGTAATTAATTGCATGATCTTACTAATAACATCAACAATAATGTATTTTTTTTTTCTAGGATGTAGAAAGTATTGAATTAAATTATCTACCTACATGGCCTATGAATATACTTTTTACTCAAAAAATAATTCTCAAGTATAAAAGAATATTTATGTTTTCTAATAAGTTAGAATATGTTACATGGTGTTTGTCCAAAGCAAGAGAAATTCTAAGCTTACACAAATTTAATACTGGAGTGCAATTTAGACAAGTTAATTAATATCTAATTATAGGGTTTAATGGGAAAATATTATTTAAATAACCACCAAACTTTTTTTTGTGTGTGTGTATTAAATACATTATAATCTACTAATTAAATTATTTAATGTTACATTAGACCCTTCAATTATACAAATACTTATATTAAAATTCCTATTTGATGTTTACCAAAATTTAGAGCTTTATTGTGAAAAATTATTTTTACCGATGGTGGATTACTTAAAAATAAAAATAATAATGTACTATAGGTTTATATTAGTAATACTATAATAACATAAATAAGTGAAAAAAGCATAAAAAGTTGGGTTTTTCTTAATTATGCTCTTTCTACCTCTCATTTATAAAAATATTAATATTGTCTAAAATATTGGTTTAAAAGCTATTATCAATCAGTTATTTTCTTAATTTTATCATTTTCTAAAACTTATGCTAATATAATAAGAATGTTTTTTTTTAAAGGCTTAGTATAGGCTATTAAAGCCCTTTGCCGCATCTTCCATCTCCTTCCATCGTTCTCTATCCTTTGCCATCTCTTCCGGATCTTCTACTTCTAACAACCTTAGGTCTCGATATACACAGTCACTCCATTGTTGTTTCGGTTGGCCGAGGGGTCTCTTTTTGTATGGTTTCCATGAGGTTATTTTATTTAGTATTTTTCCTTCAGCGCACCAAACATGTCCTGCCCATCCGATTCTTTTGCTCTTCATTACTGCTACTATGTCCGGTCGGTTGTATAGTTCATATACGTCATCATTAGTTCTATGCTCATATTCATTGGTTTCCTCATTATTTTTGGGGACAAAAATTTGTCTTAGAATTTTCCTTTCAAATATTGCTACCTTTTTTTTATCCGTTTTTGTTGAGGGTGGCCCTCAACAAAAACTTTTTTTTGTGTGTGTGTATTAAATACATTATAATCTACTAATTAAATTATTTAATGTTACATTAGACCCTTCAATTATACAAATACTTATATTAAAATTCCTATTTGATGTTTACCAAAATTTAGAGCTTTATTGTGAAAAATTATTTTTACCGATGGTGGATTACTTAAAAATAAAAATAATAATGTACTATAGGTTTATATTAGTAATACTATAATAACATAAATAAGTGAAAAAAGCATAAAAAGTTGGGTTTTTCTTAATTATGCTCTTTCTACCTCTCATTTATAAAAATATTAATATTGTCTAAAATATTGGTTTAAAAGCTATTATCAATCAGTTATTTTCTTAATTTTATCATTTTCTAAAACTTATGCTAATATAATAAGAATGTTTTTTTTTAAAGGCTTAGTATAGGCTATTAAAGCCCTTTGCCGCATCTTCCATCTCCTTCCATCGTTCTCTATCCTTTGCCATCTCTTCCGGATCTTCTACTTCTAACAACCTTAGGTCTCGATATACACAGTCACTCCATTGTTGTTTCGGTTGGCCGAGGGGTCTCTTTTTGTATGGTTTCCATGAGGTTATTTTATTTAGTATTTTTCCTTCAGCGCACCAAACATGTCCTGCCCATCCGATTCTTTTGCTCTTCATTACTGCTACTATGTCCGGTCGGTTGTATAGTTCATATACGTCATCATTAGTTCTATGCTCATATTCATTGGTTTCCTCATTATTTTTGGGGACAAAAATTTGTCTTAGAATTTTCCTTTCAAATATTGCTACCTTTTTTTCATCCGTTTTTGTTGAGGGCCACACCTCACATGCGTATAAAGCAATAGGCCTGACAAGTACTTTATACATTATTATTTTCGACATTTTTGAGAGGATTCTAGACTTAAAAAGTGATTTTAACATTCCAAGACATCTATTAGCTGTAGTTATTTTTCTTTGTATTTCACTGTGTCCCCCATAGGTTGTATCTAGAACCACTCCAAGGTATTTAAAAGTATAATAAGAATGTTACTATTAAAAAATAATATTTGTTGGTGCTACTCTAAGTCATAAAAGGTGGACTTAAAAGTACTTAATAATTTTTATATTGAGTGAAAGCTTTTTTCCTATTAAAAAATAATTTTTGAACTTTGAATTGTTTGTTTTGGTAAATGTCACATAAATAATTAAGTTTATGTACTTTCTTAAAATTGTTTAAATTGTCTAATAAAGTACTTGAATTTTTTTTCTCATAGATAAATTTATTTAAACATGCCATGTATCAATTTATAACATCAATGCATCATTACTACAAACAAGTTGTCATTTCAACGTGTTGGATGGAGCTTATTGAAAATTTAAAAGTAACTGAAGATATTAATGATGTCTATAACAACCATAAACAATATTTGCATAATATTATTAGCAGGTATTACACTTAAATGATAATTGATTAAAAAATAATTTAACTCCTTTTAAGATTTCAACAAATAGTAATATTTAATGAAATAAGTATGCCTATGATGATAGTATTTTATATGTTTAATTGATGCTGTGGCATTTAATATTTCAAATATTTTACCTTTTAATAAAATGCTTTTATTTACATACAATTATCTAACTTACCTTAAAAGTATAATTTTATTTTCCTATATCTAATTCAAATTATATTTTAGATGTTTCATGATTAAAGGACTCAGAGATAAGCTAATTTTTTTAAACAAAATTTATATAGAAATTATAAATTATTATCGACTGATTGCTCAAGGAAATTTCTACATGGATAATTCTATTTTATTACATTCAAAATTTGAAGAAATAGAAAAATCTTTCCTAAGATTTTCAGAACTTAGAAGAATGTTTTATGAAAGTATTTTAAATTCAATTGAGACTAAAGGCAAACATAGTTATGTAAGTCATTTGGAAAATTTGATTACCATTCTAGGTCCTTCCTAGTAAAACATAAAATATAAAATCATTTTTTATGTTGCATATTTTTAAAATTATTATTATTATTTTTTTTATATGATTATAGTATTATTTTTGTTATGACTCCTGTATTAATATTCAAAAAAAATATATTGTTTTTGTATATTTTCTTAACAAAAAATATTGTTTGTTGTTGAAATAATTCTTAGTATGTATAGTTTTGTATTAATTACTTTAAGTATTAATACTTGAACCAAAAAACTAATTAAGTTTGGTGACAGTACTTTTTTCACTCACTCCCTTGAAAAAAGAAGTATTTCTAAGTATATATATATATATAAAGTTACTGAATAATTATAAAAAGTTGTAGTGATGTCATTGTCGTATTTTAAAAAGTTTAACATAAGATTAATAAGGTTAAAAGACATCAAATAGTGGCTAGAATAATATGACTTTTTTGTAGATGACTAAGAGATTATACTATACTAGATTATACTATTATAATTTTTATAGTATTTTATTATTGATCTGTCTATAATTTGGTGACTAAAAATCGGTGTCAGTTTTTATTTTAAATAATTGAAACATAATTTCACTATAACTAACACTTATTCAAAAGCTTCACAAAAAAGAAAAAAGGTTTTACGAGCAAAACAAAAATGTCTCAAGTAATAGTTGGACTAAACTCTCAATAGGTATGATGTGGTAATTCCAATTTTAAATTAAAAAAGTATCAATACTAGTATAATAATAATTATAATAATAATGTGATTACTATTTTTACAAAAAAATTATCCTTTATCAGTCGTAATATAAGTTAGTTAAGATGAATAATCAAAAAAAAGTTTACACCAAACAATTGATGAACAACAGTCTTTTCTAGCCAAATAAGAAACGTCTTCAAAAAAATTAGGTATCCATTACATCTGAAAAAATACAGAATAAAAGTTAGTAAACAAACAAATTTAAATAAGTTATTTCAAATCTTTTTCCTCGTTTACTACTTTAATTCTAACTACTTGGTTCGGGCAAAATAAGTTATTTCAAATAAAATATTTAATTCATAATATGTATTTCATGATAACAAAATAGTGTTATTTTTGAATATTTTTGTAGATAGTATATACGTTATATTTTTATTTTAAATTTAAACTATAATTGTCTAAGGAAATATAAATCGCAGAGGATTCTTTGCATCTCACGGACACAATGATAATTTTATTTTTAATTTACATAATATACATTTTTCAATTAATATTTCCTTGAAAAATTATAGCTTACCAAAAAATTTTTTAATTAAAATCTAATATTTAATGTTGAAATTACCATGGTGAAGCATAGAAAGATTACGGTTAAACTAGAAATATTTACACTGATGGAGAAAATGTTTACTGATTGTGAAAGCTAGAGCACGTTAGGTAATTGAGCAACGAAATGATGTCGAAGAGGAATTCTAGGGGAGTAGATAAAGTCGCAGTAAGTAGTAAGGCCATCCCTAGAGGGGGCGTCATACACCTTACTATTATGCAAAAATTAATCGGTAATTTTTTAATATAAGAGGATTCTAAAAAAAAAAAAAAAAAATTATTCAATTTGCAAAAAATAAATTTTTCATCACCCTAAATTTTTAACTTCGGGACAGCCCCAATGAGTATGAGCGGCAGGCACCACTAAATACGAGCCACAAGAGGTTATGTTGTCCATAGTTTACTGTCAGTGCCAGTGTTTAAAAGTCGTGCTGTGTAATTTAAATTTTAAATTAATTAATTTTAAGATTTTGTTACGTCTAGTTCCCTCCAATGATAGGGAACTATATAGACCAGATAGTCTATGTAGTTAGAGCTTTTAAGATACTTTTGTAATTAATGTCAATTATCATTTTATATATTTACTATATGTGTTTTACATGTTGTTATTATTATAAATTAACTGCATTAGACAATCGGGGAAAGTAATGTTTTACGTCTAGTTCCCTCAGATTATTTTAGAAAGCATTGCAAAAAACATAATTAGAAAATATTTTTAAGCATATAAATATAAATAATGCTATTATATTAAAATTTTCACGATCGGCTATCAGAGTATTTGCCTTTTATGGTCGTTTTCTTAATTAATACCAAAAATAGAATAAACACCGTGCACAGAATGAAAAGATAGCACTCTGACGGACAATGAGTAAATTAGTGTCGGTCACATTATACAAGGCAACTTTAGAGGGATATTTTACAAAGCAGTCAAGAAAAAAAACTGACTAGTCAAAAAATGTTATACTACGCATACAATGCAGCCCGACACTTGCTAACTCATTGTCCGTAGAACACTCTCTTTTCAGTCTAAGGTATGGCGCCTATAAAGTATATTTTTTCAATAGAGTTGGCAAAAAGAGTTTGTCAATTGATAGTAACAAAACAATTTTTATATATTTTCTACGCCTACCTAATTCAATTTTTCACTTATCTCTTCAGAAGTAGAATCAAAAGATTGAAACTCTACGTTATTTAATTTTGATTCAATTTCATCTTTAGGTTTGCAACTATCAGAAGAACAATCATCATTAAGTAAGATGTGGTCAGACACTTTAATAGAAATATCTAGTTCCTCTTCAGATACTTTTTTTTCATCACTATCCTTTTCAGAGATGGATACTTGTAAATTATTCTAAGAAATAATATAGTAGCTTTACTATTATATTATACTATAATTGATAATAATTATTAATTATTACACTGAAAATTTAATACAACAAATTTATCAAAAAACCATTACAATAACGCCCATGATTTACTGTGAATATAATATGTACTGAATATAATTGTATTTATAATTATACACGTATAGTTAACCATGTACATTCAAATTTGACCTGGTGGAGAGTTAAACAAGTTATTCACACAAAACACTCGATTATAATCTGTACATTTTAATTTCTTCCTTTAGCTATTTAGCTATTTTCGTTTAGTTATTTTTACGTGTTGTAATTATATCTATCTTACTTCAATTTCACTAGACAAGTCTTTATTTTCTTTTTTTGAATCAGTTTCATGGGATTCTATTGTTTCTTTATTTTTTTCATTTCTATCAAATGTGCACACATTAGGGATAGAATTCGATGATACATAAGGCGTAGCAAAATAAGTAGTTCCTGAACTATCCATGTAACCTATACTACTTAGTTGGTTTTCTGGTGTTTGTGGCAATAGAGAATTTAAATTTGAAGATGGGTCATTTGTCTGAAACAAGTGGAAAACATTAAATTTAAATATTAGTCAATAGTCTCGTACTGAACAAACTTTCAAGAATATATCAATAGAGTCTTTAATCTTATTAACTAGTTGCCGAATGGTTTGTTCTTGTTGACTAATAATAGCTTTTAAACACGCTTCTCTAAATGATACCTGCGATTTGAACAAAGCAGTTGTGTCACTATCACCGACTGAACATTCTAGATCCTTATCTAAATTTTCTCTAACAACGGTAAACTAAAAGATAGAAGACGAAATTGAAAATGAACCTGCTTCAGTTTACGTGCATTTATATTTATTAATATTGTCTTCTCTACCTCTTGGTCGTTTGCCCAAAATGTTATACGACCGTCGTTCAATAAACCCTTAACTAAATCGTCAATAAATCTCTGAACGTTTTCTTTTTGTTGGGAAAACGCTCTGTTTAACATAAATTGCTTGTTTACCACGTCTAATGTTTGCACCAAATCTTTTTCTACTTTCAACAAATGTTGTTCCAGAGCCTCTTTCTCGTTAGTCAAGTCTTGAATCTATAAACCGAAATAATAAAATCCATAAGTTTTCACATACAACACAATCGAGTGTAAACGATTGCCTTTGTAAGATACGCGCTTTCTTGTGCGTTGAAGTTGTTTGGCGATTTGCATTCATTACAAGAGTTCGATGACCAACGTTTGGACTTTGGTTTATCACTTTTAATGACTGAGCTCGTTTGTGAATTGTTCTTGTAAAAATCATGAGGCGTTGGTGATTGCCTACGAATAGGTCGGCGATCGGATTGTGGCTAAATAAAATTTATGACAAAATGAATTTTTCGGTTAAGTTTTCTGTTTTTTTCATTCAAGTTTATTAGATTAATCCAATGATAATAATAAATACTAACGTGTAATCTTTTTGTTTTATCTTCGTCCACAGACTTTCCAGTTGATGTGACACAATAACAAGCAGTATTTTGATGGTAAAATGTAAAATATTCGCTTCGACCCAATATCTATCATTAAAATTATTTAATAATTATACATATGTTGCGCACATATATGTTAAAAATTACTCGTAATAAACCCAAACCAAATATATATATACATGTGTAATACACAATAACTAAACAATATCTGTCATTTTAGTTGAGTATATGGCTTTTACTATCCATCCATTTGTGTATTTAAGATTTAGCCCTCCCCCGGACCAGCGAATTCAATATTGCTTAAGACGATAATTACAAAATATTGTTATAGAACTTTTCTTATTGGTCATTATTCTGCAATAATAGATAATTTGGTTCGAAATAAAAAATGTACGCTCACTTCTAAGTTTTGAGCGATATACATGAGTTGATATTTTTTGTTGCATTTTACTATATTTTGAAAACATTTCTTCTCAAAGATGATAGACTTAATCGGTTTGTTGATTTCATCGCAACCTATGATAATATTTTTAAATGCGACTTGTTCATCTACACCCGTCCAACCCTTCGGTATTAACACGATCCAGTCCTTCGAAGAAGCATTTGTTTGTGCCTAAAAGTTATGTTTGTATATAATATAGATATAATTTAGCCACGCATATTAATTGAAACTCCTTCAATTACCTCTTTTACAAAGTTATAATCAATTACTAAATCGTTTTCTATAAAATAGCTTTGGTGAACAAAAAGCTTTACGATTTGCTCCATTTGTATTATTTACTGAAATTAAGTATAATAAGAAAAAAAAAAATCGATTTAAATGAATTGTGTCATTATTATTAATTAGCTAATAAAAAATTCAATATCAATCCAAACAAATTAGTTTTTGAAAAAAAAAATTAAGTAAATTCCAAAATGATGTAACAAAAGATTTCAATACCTTTAGTATGAATATTTATTTTGGATTCTGCACGTAATGACTTAAGTGTCTTGATGGCTCCAATATATTTTTAAATGATTTATATTTGTATACTCGCTAGTATGATTTTTACATTCTTTCATTGAAAAATAAGTAAACGTATAAAACTAAAATACTCTTTATAAAGAATATTTACGGTTGCACCATAGTAACGTTGTTATTAAAAAAAAATCTATGCGTGGCAACTAAAATTGTTTAAAACACTATTATGGAGTATAATTAAAAGTATTATACAAAAAATGTATAACTATTTACATTTGTAAAATGTATATACACCCAGAGAAAAACCTCGATCTATATAATTAATTCATTGTTCAATTTGATAAATATATCATTACTAATGAATCTATGATATATTTATCAATATGATGATTTTTTTTCTTATCTTGAACAATAATTATTCATAAGAATAATTATTTTGTTCGTATTAATAAAACATTATCATAAACCCTTGATAAAATTTCTCTATCAAAATTGATTGAGGTTTTTCTTTGGGTGTATAGAGCGTGATAAATGTATTAACTGTCTTGAATAACGTTTAAGACGAAACATTTTGTCAAAACGTAATTAAAAATATGCGATATCAATAAATACAAAATATTATTAAACATAATACTATTTATAACATAAAATAATTCTTATTAAAACGAAAATGAATTCTTACCATATGTTATATATAAAAAGTTCTATGCAAGAAAAAATTAGTCACTAGCTCCCCATTTAAGTTGTTTGTAACAGTTAATTATGTTTGGAACCCATTTTAACGTTCGACGTATATATTCAATATTATATATTAAACTCAATAAGCTCTTAAAGTCTTAAACTCTTAAGCATTAAGATAACATTATTAACGTTGACACGGCCACCGCATTGTCGTCACCCGTCACCGCACAGCGGTAACCTGACCACACAATCACTCACTCGTTATGGTCGTGGCGTTAAGTCCAACCAAACGGCCAGCGTTGAATAAGCTAAGCAGTCATCTTCATGACGCCGCCCTACACGGACCGCTTTGAGAGTACCGCCCGACGCACTACGTTTAAGCAACTTTTTATCAACTCTGAATGAATTTTCATTATCATAACTGTCCAACACTAATCATATCCGCTTTGGATTATTCTTTGTTTCTTTCATTTGCGACAAATAAACGGTTTGACGTAACTATTTTGTGATATTTGGTGTTGCCTACTCAATTTCGATACGCACCCATTAAGCCCACAACAACGTTAAACGAAAAAAAAACATTTTTAATCGGATCTTTGTTTTAGGTAATACAGTAATGAGATAATATGTTAAAATACATAGCTTATTTACATATGCGTGTATAAATTATTATTATGTCATCTAATGAATAATAAAGACTGAACATGCAGTTAACATCTTATTTCGGTTAGTTTAATTAAATCAATTATTTCAATTTTGCTACAATAATACAATGCAATATCATCCAATAGGGATTACAGAGAGCGCATGCCCTATTCTTTACCATCATCACCAACTTAAAACAAACGATTTAGAATAGTGTAGTAAGTAAAAAAATTGATTTTGATCACTAAAAATATTTTGGGCATCCCTTGAAAAAATTTCTGGATCCTCTCCTGATTTTACCGGTACATTTACTTGAAACATATTCGATGAAATAGTATCCTCATATTGACAATATCAGACTTCAAACTTTTGCCTTGCCAATGGTAAAATTTTTGAAAATTCAATACTAATACAATATTCTTTAAAATGAAAAAAGAAAAACTATACGAAATCTCAATTTCTTGAAGTTACCTGACCGTAAAGCAAAAAATCATACAATTTTCGGAAAAAATGGATAATTTTGTAATATTTTGCACAGTTACGTAGGAACACTTACATCATTTTAAATTATTCAAATTTAATACTCTTTTAATGTAAACAATAATTAAAAAAATAAAAACGTTTCTTATGTATTTTTATTATTAATGATCGTAAAATTAATTTGGTTGGTTATTTTATAGAAATATAACATATAATTTTTTAATGTATAATTATATAATATTGATTGTTAGAGAGGTGTGAGTATGACTGTTTATATCATTAGACATAGTGGTAAGTGGGCCTGGGCTCTCATTGATAGCAATATACTTTTCTAAAATTAAGTGATTAGCAAAACAAAAAGACCGAAGTATGGAATTTTTAAAATTTTCCGTAACATAATTATTATTTTAACTATATTTATATATAAAATAAAATGTGATTTTTTTATCATTAACATTTATTAAAAATGTATTTCTATGCTCGATTAATATAATTCTATTTAAGTCAGTAATATCTGTATTACTAGTGTTATATGTTTGATGGTTAGTTAATACGGTTTGATTCAATAGTATATTTTTTGAAAAAAAAATTATTATTGTTTGAGTCTCCGATATTTGATTTTGCCGTTTCTTCCATAATATTCATTTTTAGCTTGTTTCGATAGGCCGTTTATAGTTGTTTTAAATTTTAAACAATCAATATTCAGTATTAATACTGCATAGTTAGTAATATTATACGTTTTTTCAATAAAATATTTTTTTTGAAAAACACAAATTAAAAATTTGTACGTTTCACAGATGATTGCTAGGAAATTAGAATATAAATTAATCTAGATTTGGTGTAAAAATAAATTGTAAGCTTACAATATTATGTGTCATTAAGTGCGAGACATTCTCATGTTTTCCTAATCGCACAGTTTTATCAAAGAACAATAAATTAGTGATTTATATTGTATATTGTGTTTTAAAAAAATTGTTTATTTTATTATTTAAAATGGACAGTATATTTTTTCAAAATATATTATTACGGGAAGTAATGTATTATATACGACCTTAATAACGTCATTTCTTTTTAAATATAGTTAAAAATCATAAATATTTTAGACTGTGGCTTGATGTGGTATTGAAGTTTGATGATGCATTTTATTTGAGCTAATCCATTTCAAATTACTAGATGGTAATGCCATAGAATTTGATTTCTTGTTCTTGATTTGTGTATTTTTAAAATACTGTCTAATTTGAGTAATCACGTTAGAAATTTTTTTTTTTGATATCACTATCCTTATTGAACTTAGAACTTGTAAAACTTGGTTTTGAATTTTAACAATTTTTATGCGTTTTGAATTTGGTTTTTTTATGAATTTAATTTTTCCAATTCGTTTGGTATACATTTCCATAAGATATTTGTAGTTCTGTCTAATATATCGGTTCAGTGTTGCTTTTTTTATAAATTTATTAGGTTTTTTGTTTTTTAATGTTTTGCTTTGAATAATCTCATTATTATTAGGCATTCTGTTCAGTTCTTTTTCAAGAATAGCTTCATTATTGACCTGTTTTTTTGTTTCGATTGCTTTATTAGGTAAATCAATAAGAACTTTTTCTTCTTTAAATGCAGAATTTTCTTTGTTTATACTGTTTGTTTTGTGTTCACAGACTCTTTTTTCAGAAATTGGCTTTTTCCTCCATTTTAAAAATACCACTTTATCATTTATTTTGATTTTTTTTCTAATGAAATTATCATTTTTACTTCTTTCTAATTTAGTGGTGTAATGGCGTTTTAGTTTTTTGGGTTTTGTTGTCATTGTATCAGATTTGTTTAATTCTTTAATAGTTTCTATACTTTTGTGAAATTTATCTAATGGATTTTGTATTGTTTCTTTTTTAATAGTATAAGAATTAGGTTTTATATCAATACCATTGATTGTTTGAGAAGTTTTATCAATTTTCTGTTCATGCTTATTGTTGATTAATTTTACTTTTGGAGCACTAGACACCCGTGGAGAAGTATCTATGTTTAATATTTTTATACCTATTTTTAAACCACCTTGATTTTCATTTGGTATTGAACTAATTGAGATCAAGTCATTTTTTATTTGTGTTTCAGGCGTTTTAAACATTTTTTTAGGAACTTTATACAAACTTAGAAAATTTGATTTCGTTAATGTTTTACTGTTTAAGACATTTTTTTCGTTAGAATATTGTATTCGTTTTAAAGTATCAATTAGTTCACTTATTTTTTTTTTATAAAACCTCTCAACTTCTTTCTGTGAGATTGTTCTTGCTGTTGATTTATTTATTAATGATGAACTATCGGATGTAGCACTGTTCGAGTTATTTATCATCACGTTCTGACATTTATACGTAAGTGGTATATTGGTGGTGTTAGATAATTTACTTGTAATAATCTTTAAAATTGATTCTTTTGCCACGAATGGTACGCCACATAATAACATTTTACCAGTACCTCTTATACGTGGAAGCTGACTAACTGAAATATTTGGTGTATAACTTGCTAAAATAATATCTAAAGATTTTGGTTTACTTTTATTTTTAGGTTGATCACAGTATTCAGGAAGATTTGATAAAATAAAATTTTCTTTTTTCATATTTTTAGGTTCATTAATTACTTGTGATATATTATTAGAGTTTAAGTAAGAATTTTTTTTTAATCTGAAATAATTTTCAACAGTCTCCTTAAGAATGATTTTTTTTGTTGGATAGCCTACAACTTCTACGAATTCATTATCCAACTTTTTATTATTAAACTTAAAACTAGTATCATATAAGTGTGAACCGGTGATATTTGTAAGCTTAGTGGGTAGTCCATAAAACTTAGAAATATTTGATGGAGTGCATCTTTCGCTAAGTTCAGTCGTTAAGTTGGTGTGTTGTGATATAAAAATAGGAAAAATATCGTTTTTGTTTTGTTTATTTCTTTTATTATCAATAATTTTTACAATTGGTTCTTTGGATTTGGTTGGAAATACAATTCGTCCATCATTTTTTGATAAATTTTTAATTTCATTCATTGAAAAATTGGGCATAGTCTTATAATTTGATGATTTTTGACCGGATAAATGTGATCCACTTGACAATCGTTTATGGACTCTGTACAAATTAGACGAATCTGATAAAGTAAAATTTTCATTTCTTATACTATTACGTACGTTAACATTAGATGAAATAGTTGTTGAATTCAATGGAGAATTATTTTTGCACATGAAAGCTGGTTTAACTTTTCCTTGTGTTATGGTGAGTATCGTCTTTTTTTTAAATTTTTCTGAAAACTGATTATTATTATTTTCATTTTGGTGGTGAATATTTTTAATACAGTTCGTTGAATTTTTTTTATACATAGAAATATTAGTCATTTTAGTACTTGGTACATTGGATTTGGTAATGTTATTTGGCAAATTTTTCAAAGTACTTAAGTCCGTGATTTTATTGTAATATTTTTTGTCGTTTAAGAAATTGAATTTCATTTGTTTTTTAAACTTGAAAGCTTGTTTTACATGGTCTTGTGTAATGATTTTTAATTTTTTTTTTTTAAGAATTTCGGGGAACTGATGCAATAAATGTTCATTGTTTTTAGAATGGTTTAATTGATATATATTTGAATAAGGTTTGGATTGATCTTTAGAAATATTTGTCCTATTATTACTATTAGATGAACTTAATAATTTTTCAAATGTTTTATGGACATCATATCTATTATTCATCACTTTTCGGTTATTTACGCTATATGATTTACTTGACAATTTAGTCTGAACATTTTTTGTTGGTTTAAAGATGTTGTTGATATTACTACATTTAACAATTATTACCTTTTGCTGCTTTGGCTGAACTGGTACCCAACATTTTAAAATCTTTCCTTTAACTTTTGAATTATTGTTCAGTCGATTACATGTTTTAAATGTTGGAAATTGGCGTTTTTTTGGAACATTTAAAGGATTAATATGTTTATCAGTTTTTAGTTTATTTCTAAAGTTTGGAGAAATTGGTGATTTATTCATACAATTTACACCATAACATTTTTTAAACTTAAACGACTGTCCAATTTCAGATTTATTTATAGTTTTTAGTTTGCTACTTTTTGGAAACTGAAGTAAAAAATAATTGTTATTAATCTTTTCGCTATTTTGATGATATGATAAATTGCATTTTAATTTGTGAGATTTTGGAGAATCGGTTTTGTTTAAAACATTTGTTAGTGTATTGTATTTTTTCGCTGTGTTTGAAAATATATAGTTATCATGTTTTGGATTTTCACTTACGTTCACGTTGTGTGGCCTATTTAAATCGCTCAAATCAACATTATTTCTATCGTTTGATTTCTTCGGTTTTTTTTTAATAAATTGGATTGTTCGATTTTTTGGCGATTCAGATACTTTATTCGTTTTAAATTCTTTTTTATACATATTCCTAGCATTTTTCGATTTATAACCACTATTGAAATTTGATTTTAATGGGAAATTAAAATTTTGTAGTTTGTATATTTCTTGTGTTGGAAACACCATTGATTGTTCAATATTTTCAATTTTAGGATTTTTTTTTGAGCAATTTTTAATTAAATCAACAACTAGGTTATTGTTTGTCACGTAGGTCTGTTTATGATCGTTACGAATTAAATGAACCCGCTTTTTGAAAATTCCCCTTGAAATCTAGAAGAAAATAAAAAAAATTAGTGACATACACTTACAAAGCAATTAAAGCTTATATAAAATTTACTAACAGAAATGAAATGCTTTGCATTCTTTAATGAAGTCATATTTGAAGACATTTTTTGAATTTATAACTTGTATTGCGAATATAGAAATTTACAATTTGAATGTATCTATTTATAGCATAATTTTAACATTTAAATTAACTTTAAAAATTTTCAATTTTACTGACAGAAAAATTTATAAAAATTTCATTTTTATTCAAGTCTTGATATTAATATTGAGTATTAAATATACTTTAATTAAATGCTAAAAGTTATTCATAATCTTAGTACTTAGATACGACAATTATTGATTAGATTATAAAATAATTACATAGAAAAATTGTTAAGCCAAGTAATTTTTTAACTGAATACCATAAGATTTAAATAAGATATATATCTACTAAATAAATGGATACTGTCAACAGCTATTAATTACGCAGTGATTTAGAATATATTGAATGATTATAACTTTGAGTTGAACAAATAGTTAATGTTCCGTTTTTTTAACTAGACATTTTTGAGAATACCTCAACACTCGATAATTTCTAATCAAGAAATAAAGTGGCCAATAATAGTTTATACATACAAGCTGTCTCAGACACAACTGACAATACATACAATTTTTGACACAACTTTAAATTTGTTGAATTTTTTTTTATTAATAGTTATTGTCTTTTTAGATTACATTTAAAGTATGTTTTTATTATTTCACAACAATAATAAAAAAGTTTTAATATTAATTATTTTTATTTTTTAATAATTATAGCCATTTATTAGTCCATTTCTTATAAAAATGTTGATGGATCATCTACAATTTATAATTAATTCATCAGATTTGCTAAATTATACAAATATTTTTTACATTGAGAACAATAACTCATTGAATAACAAGCGATTTAATAAACAGAGTGCGTTTGTAACTCGGATGGGTGTTCATACTAATGTAGTAGGATGGTCCTTAATTTTTTACTTTAACAATTTGAAGTTTATACACCCTAGTTTTATTTGAATGACCTTAAAAATAATAAAGGTGAAATTTGAGTTCCATCTATATACCCTTTATATGCTTCATTTTTTAATTTTTACAATCTACATATCTCATCATTAACGCTGAAATTTAAATATTTTTAATAGTTATAATTGAAATTAATCTAGATGTTCAACGCGAATTCAATTATGTTTTATGGACATGTTTCTAAAAGTTATAGTATAAACTTTATATAAGAGTATTACTTTTTAAAGTTATAGGTGTTGAAGTCTAAAAGTCCACAAGACGGGATCAAATTATCTGTTGTAGTAGATTATTCAGATAATTCACATTAGTGTTATAAAAGTATATTCGCATTTGAGCGTTAATGATAAGAAATGTACAAGTTAAAAATAAAACAAATAATAATGTATATTATATTATAACCTATAGTCAAGAAACGCAAATAAAATATAATTGACTTCGTCGTTGATCTAAATTTGGTTTGTCTAAATTATTGAATAGTTTAATTAGAAATTTTTAGCCGTTGCTTGGTAAAAATTTAAAAATTAATAACTCTATAATTAAATATGTAGAGTAAACATTGCGTATCAATGCGTGTATCTATATAAATTTGAACAAAGAAAAGTTTCTAATGTGGATCTGATGAGTAAATGGGTATACTTTTGTTTGTAAATATTTTAGTACATTTTAAAATTAAATTTTAGTTTCTGTAAACATTTTTATTGTACTTTATAAGTATGAAATAAAACTTTCGTTAGTCTAAATTAATTATAGAAGATTGTTAATTTTATGGTTGATCCTCATTTTATCTGCTCATAACTGATTTAACAGTTGATTAAAAATTTATTTTCCTTGTATTTTATTATTAACCTTAAATTATTTAGTAAGAGTATTTATATTTATTAATGATAAATTGATTGGAAAATGAGGAGATATAATTACCAAATATACAGTTTCTATGTTTTTAATTTTTTTTATAAAATATTTGTTTGATAAATAAAAAAAATATATCATGTATAAATAATTTTATGTGTAGCTAGTATTCTAAGTTAGAAATTTCTTATTAGAAGTTTATGAAAATGGAAATTAATAGAAAAATTACTGATCACTCCACATAATATTTAGTATACAATTTATTAATATATTTATAATGTATATTTTTCAGAAATTGCATTAGAAAATGGTGATAATGCGGGGGATAATCAACCATCCAATACCGAAAGCGAAATAGTAGGTATTGGTCCATCTTGCAATAGTGTAAACAAAGATGTTATAGTAAAAAATATATTATGTCACGAAGTTTACATCCCAAAAAGACAAGGTTCATTCATGAGTAACTCATTTGTGATGTCATTTTGTACTCCTACCATAATGGATCACTTGAAATCACTCGTTGGCATAAATAGTTATAAATATGAAGATCGGATTCAATACAAACTATATAAAAGTCGAACCAGTAAAGAGCCTGATTTACTTATCAATACTATTTATGTAGAAAAAAATGCGTTACATTGCCAAGGTTTGGTAAAGAAAATAATATTAATCAAAGATACAACCAAAAAAACTCTTGAAAAAATAATATTTGTATAATAAAAAATGTATTAAAATATTTGTAAACTCTAATAATAGGCATGTATGTTAAATGTTAAATTCAATGGTCATCAATTAGTCGTAAAAAACTAACTTATTTATAAACTATTTTTATTGTACTATTTGAACTATACAATGATAGTAGAATTCAAAAAACAGAATATTTAACCTAATAATCCAAATGATGTTAAGCAATGAAGATTTTCGTAATTTAGTACACATCATATTAATTTATTGTCGAAAATTTCATTAAATTGTAGACTTCTTTGGCCATGTAAAATTTATTGATTTTTTAAGTCAGTTAAAATTATATTATACAGTTAAATGTCTTTAAATTTTCTCTTGTTTATGTATCATGAGGCATAATATTAATTTATAAATCACCATAAAATATTTGTAAGATTTATGCAATATCTTTTAAATCTGATTAAATTCTTATAGGAACTATAAAATTCATATAAAAACATTGTAAAATTCTTATAAAAATAATGTAAATTAACTTTAAAAAAACTGAAAAATATAAAATTCTCGGGAAAACTATGAAATAAGATGAACATTTTTCAATTTAGAGTGATTTCCTTCAAAAAAATTAAAAAAGTGATGGAGGGATGTAATTGAATGTGATATAAGGATAGTTGATGTGAGCGTAGATGATGTGGGAAATCGTGTCCAGTGGAAGTTTAGGAGAAGGGTGGCCTACCCGAAGTAGTTGGGATTAAGGCGAAGAAAAGATTACTAAAAATTCCGGTGACAATTGACATAAAATAATTGTTGTTTGGAATGTACAATTTAGCGTTTGGTTGGTTCGATTTAAACAATTTAGCGTCAAATCAATTAGCTACTCTATCAGTTGTATCTTAATATACACTACTCTTTAATGATATTATAAATAAATAAACTCACACATACACATATATGTATTTGTAACATTGTGTCTAATATAAGAATAACATGATAAAAAGTAAGGATAAAATGGAAAATAAATTTTAGTACTCATATTAAATGTAATGTAACTCGAAAAACATTTATTTAAATGAAAAAATAAAAGATACCTTTTTTACTTAAAATTGTCTTTTAAATAACTTTTGTATGAAATTTTTTTTTGTAAGTTAAATATTTTTTGAAAAAACTAAAAAAGCTCCTATTTTTGAACTTTTGTAAAGCTGTAAAAAAAGCTCAAGTCAAATCGATGAGGACTTTAATATATCATTATACATATCTTAATTAAACATTAAAAAAAAAAAATTTGGCTGGGAATTTTTTTCGCCATTCACAAAATTACTTCTTCGTTGACTGGCCTAAAATAAAATAATACAATTTTGCTCTTAAAATTGTTTACAATATGTCAATTTACGAGATAATTTTCACGTATTATAATTCTTTAAATACAGAGTGTTCAGTAAATAAGGAAACAGGTAAATTGTTACAAACAATGAGAACTATAGAAATCAGTTTCCTTACTTACTATCTATATAGTGGATAAAACGTTTGCCTATTTTTTTAAGTCCCTAGCATTAAATTTTGTTAAATTTGTTATACTTACTTTATAGATTTGTTCAAATATCACACTATAATATTAAAAATTCACCTTAAATCAAAATTTCAGTTATAAAAATTAATAGGAAATACTGGCTGTATAAAAATATACAGTGTGTTCAGTAAGTTAGGAAACAATTAAATTGTTACAAACAATGAGTACAATAGAAATTCGTTTCCTTATTTACTGAACACCCTGTATATAATACTTTAAATTAGCGTAGTCATGTAGTTATAGTTAATAAAATTATTTTAATCAAATGATTCTATTGAAAGAATACTTTCTTGTTAAGTTACTAGTCTTATATATTTATATATAAAAGTATATATAAGTTTATAAAGTAATTATGAACCAAAAACGTATGATAATTTTGTTATTGATGTTTCAATTATTTTTATTTGGCACAACGTTTAATAGACTAATTTACATTGATAGAAATAAGCCAACCTGTGATAGATGAAAAACTAACTAAACAGATTCAATCAAGATCATCTGATTTGATAAAATTGTTAAAAACACAGAACCACGATAGAATGCAAAAATATAAAGAAGAGTGCTTTATAAGAAAGAAACAAGATGAAGAACGTAAAAAAAAATTAAATGAATTAAAAAATTTGCAGGTGAACTATCTTCTAGTGTCCAAGAAAATGTTATCAAGTACTGAATGTAATTCTATATAATTAAAATATTTGTTTGTAATATAATATAAATGGTTTAGCACTGATTCAGTTATATTTATTTTATTGAGAATAAAGTTGATTTATTAGAAAGAAAAAATTATAAAATCATGATATCAAATAAAAATTATTCTAGCAATGTCAAAAAAGAAATTACATTTAATCAATATGGATGAGTTGTGTTATTCATTTAACTAAAGTTTTACGTTTTTATGAATGAATTTTTTTAAGGCTAATGAGTTTTAATGTCTTATTTTTTTTAACATGCGAATGTATAACAATTATATTAAGTGAGTATAACTCATTATTTTATATCTGCATCATTTAAAAAGTTTTCTATGACATCATTAATAATATAATATAATATAATAATAATAATAAGAGAGATCGATAAATAAAACGAATCCTAAATACGGTATAATCTTGAACGAATGAAAATGAACCCTTAATCGAGCAGGTTATATTGAGCTTAATTATCTATCAAATTCATTATTGATTTTATTGAACCGACAAAAACTAAAAAATGTGTATAATTATTTTAATTTTAGTAGAATTTGTCATTGTTGTACCGACAACGTAGTTGGATTGAGGTATTTTATTACATATTTCAAATACATTTTAAAAGTATATTTTATAATGTTTAATAATATTACACCACTAGTATGAATTAACAGAACTATTTAAAGTAAAAACTGATAAGTTTTTTTGGACAGATACAAAAAAAAAAAAGCTTACCAACCTTCTCAGCTTTACATCGAAGCCAAAAATTATATAAATATATTACATTATTTTTGGAAAAGCGGATTTAGGAATTTTGCGTTCTTTTATTTATACATTAAATATGTTAATTACGCTAAATATGCATTTATAAATTTACTAATGTTGTGATAATTATTACGTGATTAATGAGTTGATGGCACAAGCTATCATTGACAACGCATGTTTTCACTGCAATCGCACAGTATTCCATTACATCTGCTTTTATACATAACACATTATGTATACATATTGCGTATACTAACATAATAACTGTTAGTCGTCTGGAGAGAAATTAATAATATTATGATTATCAAGCAGTGGTAGCCGTTGCTATTAGTACCGAAATACTACTTTCACTCTCGCTGGTATCCACTTATGTTTTACATCTAAAGTAGTATTTAGCTTTCATTCTGCTACTGTCACTCTTTGTACTTGACTATTGCGAATCGTGTTGCACCATTTATTCGGTAAATTTCGGATGTTACTTTACCCATAAGCATTCACAGTATTCAGAAAAAATTCTTGAAATTTTCTTAAAAAAACAATTTGTTTATCATGAAAATTCTTTTTTTATCGGTGTGTTTGGTTGTACTGATAGCTATGAGTCATCATACGGTAGCTAGTGACCTTTCATTAGACTTGAACGATCCGGTTTTGGATGCTTTAGCAGAAGGAAAAACGCAAAAAAGAGTTCCAACAGCATCAGAGGATGATCGAACTAAACGACAACTATCAATAGTGCAAAGCAAATTGTTAAATTTTCTTAAAGTAAGAACTATTAAAGTAATTCAAATATATTAATAAACTTGATTAATTTTATGAAAATCATAGTAAATCTAGTTGATGGTAAAGAAAGACTAAAAAGTTAAAATTTTTGTATAAAATATTATTCTTACATAATATGGCTATTTTTCAAAACTATTTATTGAACTAAAGTAATTCATCAAAAAACAAAGTTAAAACATAATGTGTTTATTTTTTAATTTTTTATTTTGTCTGCCACTAAGTTAACTCAGTTCACCCTAAACTGAATATTTTCAATGTTACGTTAAAATATTACAAAAATTGTATCTAATTGAAAATGTTATTGTCAAGAATCGAACAATTTTTCCTCGTTCCTCGTAATTGAGCGAAATCATTCAAAAGAAACAAAAAAGTTATTTTTTAAAAATTTTTACTTAATACTACCATAACTTTTTAAAAATCGATGCACCAAAATAACTTTTTTTTTTATTATTATTGCTTTAGGTAATTTGTTTTATATATCTTCTTCATCCTCGCCTTTATCCCAACTACTTGGGGTCGGTCACCCTTATCCTAAACTTCCACTTGATACAATCTCCCACATCAGCTGTCCTCATATCGCATTTAATAGTATCTCTCCATCTCTTTTTTGGTCTTCCTTCAACATTCATTTCTATTACTGTTCTTATAGCTTTTGATTCTTCTCTCCTTATAACATGACCAAACCATCTAAGTCTATTTTCTCTCATCTTATCCACGATTGGCGCAACACCTATACTCCCTCTTATATGCTTGTTCCTTATCCTATCTTCTCTAGTCACTCCACTCATCCATCTAAGCATTTTAATCTCTGCTACACTCATTCTCTGCTCTACATTCTTATCAACCACCCAACACTCTGAACTATACATAAAAACTGGCCTCACTACAGTCTTGTAGAATTTACCTTTAGCCTTATTGGAATTCTTTTATCGCATAAGACGCCAGACGCTTCTCTCACAAAATAATAGCTCCATTGTTGTCTTAACAGGCATAAATCCAAACTGGTTTTTATATACCGATGACTCATTTCTTATTCTCTTATCTATTCTATATATAAGCTTTATGCCTCTAAAATTTCCACACTCCTGTATGTCACCATTACTTTTAAATATTGGCACCACATTACTATTCCTCCATTCATTTGGAATTTTCCCTTCTAATAAGATTTTATTTTAAAGTTCCTTCAACCACCTTATATCAACATCGCCTAATATTTTCCATACTTCTACTAGCACTTCATCTGGTCCTATTGCTTTATTCGTTTTCATTGATGCTACAGCCTCCCATACCTATTTCTCACTAATTAAATCTACCAGTCACTCATTCCACGAGATATCCTTTAATATCTCTTTTGGGTACTCCTCATTCAGTAATTTTTCAAAATACTCTTTCTACCTTTTTTTACATCATCACTCAAGAGTACCTTATTATTAACATTTTTTATACGCTTTATATAATGATAATCTTTAGACTTTTTCTCTCTTACTTTTGCAAATCTATAGATTTCTTTCTCGCCTTCCTTTGTTCCTAGCCTATCATACCTTTTAAACTTCGCCTTACTTATTGCACACATAGGTTCTTTGTAGTAGCGTTTATACTCCATCCAATCTTCTCTCCTTTTGCTCTTTTGCCATACTTTGAATTGATTTTTCTTACTTTCTATTATTTTTTTAACGTCCTCATTCCACCACCAGGTTTCGTTGTCTCCTAGCATTCTACTCCTACTCTCATCAACAATCTCCTTTGCAGTATTCTTTATACAACTAGCAAATCTATTCCACACATCATTTATGTCTCCTTCGACATTTCACACTGTCCTCTTTTTTACCGTCTTGACAAACTCTTTTTCATTTTCTCCTTTCAATTTCCACCAACGGATGTTCGATTTTTCTCCCGTGTTCCTTCAGTTTTTGTATATTCTTTTCTCGGTACACCCAAACTCCATTACCATTAGTTTATGCTGTGTAGTTACACTCTCGGCTGGTATAACTTTAAAATCTTTTACTCGCTTTACGCTCTTTCTCTTCTACATAAAATAATCAATCTGTGATCTATTCCTCCCAATCTTATAAGTTATGTAATGATCTTCCCTCTTTCTAAAATAAGTTTTAACCACAGCAAGATCATAAGATACTGCGAAATTCAGAATTCTTTCTCCATCCTCATTCTTTCCACTAAAACCATATCCTCCATGTACTCTTCATATCCTCTCCAATCATTACCTACACGTCCATTTATATCTCCACCTATCACCGCATCTTCATTGTCAGGTACCCCTTCCATTACTTCATCCACCTCTCTCCAAAACACTTCATTATCTATTTCATCACATCCTACTTATAGTGCATAGGCACTTATTACATTCAGCACTTTTTCCTCGAATATCAATTTTATGACTATAATTCTGTTACTTTTCCTAGATACTTCTACTATTTTACTTTTTATCTCCTAATCCATTATTATCCTTATACCATTCTTGGTACTAGACTTACCTGAGTATATTATTTTATAATCCTCACCTAACTTTTCTCCTTTTCAATATTTCTACTAATTTTCTACTTGTACCAATTAATGTTCCAACATTCCAAATACCTATTCTTACTTTGTATCTATCTTTCTCTGTTATGCACGAATTCAGCTTAGAGTTAAGTGGTGATGTCACCACACCGCTAACACTACAAGCGTTGGGTAGATCTGTACACATGAAACAGCTACCACACAAGTTGTCCGGCTGGTATCAAACATTTTATTATTCATATCTTCTCCGTTTCTAACTACATTATTACCTCTCACCTGTTGTCCCCGCGTACATCTGAGATAGGACAATTCGCTTAAGTTTTGTTCAGGACATCTCTTACTATTTGTCAAAAATTTTACCTGACGCAACCTCATTAGTCGCCTCTTACGACTGGCAGAGGGGCCATGGAAGTATTCTTATCGCCTATCCACAGGGAAAATTTTTTATATATATATTTATTATTCGATTAAAAAAAATTAATTTTGTGATAAATTTTTTCATTGTATTCCATTTGAACGAGTTATATATGTTTATAGTTTAGAAGCGATCTGAAAAAAAATTACTAATTTTTAAAATATGGCAACATTATCACGTAGTATAAAGGCATACGTCGTGATAATGTTGCCAACTGGTTGATTAATATGCTAATATTAAAAGATTCTCTCTGTATACAACAACTTTATGACTTTAATTTAATAACGTTTTATATTTTATTTATATTTAATTCTAATAAATATTTATTAAGTATTATACTTATGAATCATAAATCTTATAATCAAAATATGAAAATATTGTGGTTTATTTCTCTCAATTCAGTTTTACACGGAAACAGTAACTAATTATATTTGGCGTTTTTAGCCAATGCCTGTAGTAGATGTTATCACTGAAAAAGAAAAATATGGAAATAAAGAAACTCATAAGTTTGGACGAGCATTAATAAGTGGATTTGAAACTATTTCAAGCAAATTAACATCAGTTCTATCAGTAAGTCAAGTCATTAGTATTCAATTTTTATTTTTGGAGATTTACATGGTGTAAAAATAAGGTGCACAACAAGATACCTTATTATTTTATTAATTTGAACCTTATCTTCGAATTATTTAGTTTAATCATAAAATCTCATTTCAATTGAAAATAAACACAAATATTTTAGTTAAAAATAAAACAGATTATATACTAGTTCAGTATAAATTTTGTAATTATTTTTAGAATTACCTAATTAATTATTTGCTATTATTATTATTATTATTATTTTCATATCTATTTTCTACTTCGACCTGCAGTTTTGAAATATATTATTTTTAATTTTAATTAATTCAACATGTCGAATTGTGTTCATAGTTTAATAAATATTATATTTTCTTCATTATCGTTTGAACAAAAATTAATCATAAAAAATGACGACAGGCCTTTACCGGAATTAAACGATTTAAAGACTAAATATAAAAAAGGAAAAAGTGAATATTTTCGGAATTTTAATCCAGCATTATATAACTCAAAAATGAATGGTTATATGGATGTAAAATAAATAAGCTCTTTTTTATTTTCCATGTTTAATTTTTGGTTGCGAAATAGCTTGAACTAAAATAAGAGTTGCAATATCTAAAGGCAAATATTGTTAAGCATGAAAATTCATTCAAATATATTCATTATGCGACAAACTTGAATTTGTTAGGCAAAGTTAATATAAGACATCAAATTGATATTGGTTATTGTATTTAATTTGATAATTTTTTATACCTATAGCGGTATATTTAAATTCGCACCCCCACCACCGTTAACCACGAGTCGCTAATACTAGAGGTAATTACAAATTAAAAAATATAAACGTTTTAACTTAATTATTTACTATCTCCGTTTTTTACTTTATACATCTTGTGTTTATTTATTTATCAAGGTTATTTGTTTGTATATGATATTATACATTAAAATAATGTACAATGTATTTATATACAAGTTTCTTTATAGCTATTGAACAAAGATCGAATAAAACAATTTAGATTAATAGTGATAAACATGTTATATTTTGTAAAAATGTTCGTTATTTTATGATAAAATTACACTACATGTGTGTAAAAATATCGTCTATATTAAAAGTACCATACTGCCGTATGGGTATTATAGGATCATTTCATACAGTGTAATTTTATAAGAAATACACTTGCAATAATTGTAATATAGGTAATGTCATATAGTTCTATATAATAATAATTAATGAAGTGTTGAGTTCATTAAAGTTTTTTTCATGTTATTGTGTTTTAGTTACCCGTAGAATCAGCAAAAAAAATATCTAAAAGTACTACAAATGCATTAAATAATGTAGGAGGCAGATTAGTAGGGTTACAGTGATGTTCGATTTATCAAATATCGTTAATATAAACCAATTATTTTTACATTTTAAAAACTGTAGTGCTAGTAAAAATTGAAAATGTAAATAAATTACAAAAAGAATTGTAGTTAGGCCATTTTTGATTTAAGTTCTAAAAATAATGCTATGTAAACTTTAAAATTTTATTAAATATTCGTACTTAATTATTATTATATTTTACAAATATATAAAGAATTCACACTATATATTGTATTCTAATTTAATTATTTTAATTTTTAAAATGACGTTATTTATTATGTATAATTATCTGTTCATATTATGATTTTATCTTTTAAATAAAAATGTAAATAGTTAAATTATTACCCATTTTTAATTTTTAATTGTAAATTTCCTAAGTACCTACAATCAATGATACTCTAAGAAACAATTATTTTACAACTAGAACAGTAATTTAATACCAACAAAATTGCAAAAATTGTTTTACAGTCCTAACTCATATCAAGTTCTTACAGCTATGATTGTATAATATTTAATTATTTTGAAAAATGTATACATTTAGATTAACAAAACTGAAAAATATTAATGTACTTAAAATAAATTCTTTAAATATGAATTCAAATGAAAATTACTGTTCTATTTTTTTTACATTTTAATATGTGACCATATATTTAATTAAAACAATATACTAATGGTTATTTATTCTGTATTATAAACGTATTATTAACTATTAAATATTTAAGTTAAAAAAAAATATGTTGTTTTTTAGCTTCGATGCGAAGCTGAGAAGGTATTAATTTACTATGATGTGTTTTTTTTTGTGTCTGTTACCACTTTTTCTCAGCTCTCAACGTACGGATTTTTTTCAACGATACGTCAAAAGATCACAAATCGTATCTAGTCGAAGACATTACCCTCCAAAATTGAAAAAATTTCTCTCGTTCCCCGTAAATGGGGGAAACCTCCAAAAAAATTACAAATTTAAAAATCGCTAATTTTCGAATTTTTTTTTCTTAAAACCGCCATTACTTTTTCAAAAATGACCAAATCAATATAATTTTTTTTTATGGATCCATGATTCTATACCAATCCTTTGAAATATTATTTTTAAAAATTTGACCATTATGCTATTTTTGTGTTAAAATTCTCGATTTTATATTTTACATTTTTTACTTTAGAATGTTATAAGTTTTTAAAAAATATATGGATCAATGCAATTTTTTCATGAGAAGTAGTATTTATATACATCTTTCATTCGACATAATTTTTTTTTTAAATCAGACTATTTCCCTATATACGGGGGAGGGGGGGTCAAATCTGAAAAATGCTTATAGAAAGTAGAATATTTTCAACTTAACTTTTGAAAGTGTCCCGTAAGGTCTAACACTTTTATATATATCTTAAATTAAACGTAATATAATATACTTTATTATAAAAAAAAATTTTACCTCTGGACTTGTCTTCGTGGTGAAAATAGACATCAAAGTTAATAAAAAAAATACAATTTTTGTAAAATAATTCTTTTTTATATTTTTAACTTAATAATGCTATAACTATTTGGAAAATGTATGGACCAATGATTTTTCTTTTTATAGATGCTTGATGTCTTTATCTATCATTTGGTATATTTTTTTTATATATCTGACCCTTTATTTGCCCACGGGAGAGGATTTAAAATGACAACTTTTTCACAAAAAATTTAATTTTACACTTAACTTTTGAAAGTGTTCCGGAAAGTCTGACACTTATAAATATATCTTAAATTAAAGATAACGTAATGCACATTATTATGAAAAAAAAAAAATTTCGGATTTTATTTTGTCTTCACGGTAAAAATGGCTACTGAATGCTATTTTTGTGTGAAAATTCTCGATTTTATTTTTTACATTTTTAACTTTATAATGCTATAACTTATTGAAAAGTGTATAGATCAACACAATTTTTTCATGAGAAATAATATTTTTTAATAATCCCTTTTTCATTCGATATACTTTATTTTGATCAGGATATTATTAAGGAAAAATAATAAAATCATTTTCCTATATATATTAATTCATATATTACACTTATAAATCATTAAAACTTGTAAATAATAACAAATCACATAAATATCATTATACTTGATCCAACTATGCCACGACCCCTGTGCAGGGTTTTTGTTTATATCATTGACAATGTCCATACTTTAGTACCTAGACTAGTACAATCTGCACCCAAAGGCACTACAGACTCAAAATTTTTTGTACAAATATATTATACACGAAATAAGTCGATAAATTTACGGCAATAATAAAGTAATACGTAATAAAGTTACGGCAATCTTTCATGGAGTTGTCTGATCAATGTTGTAAACAGGGCTGTGCGAAAGGGGGCAACATGAGCAAGTGCCTTAGGGCGTCATAAAAATATGAATACATTTTTTTTAAATACATATCATTATTAGTGATAGCTTTTCAGCTATACCTACAAATAACCGTAAAAAAATGTATGGTAATAATTGACAGAATATCGATCGACAGATGACAAATCGTCAAGTGAATCGAACAAATATAAGTCACATCTGTGTTTTACTAAATACAAAATTCTGTACCTAAAAAATTAATTGGTAATTAAAGATTTATTCCTGTATACATAGTCCTGGCCTAATGTGCTATATGATAAGACTTATGTGTTACATGGTAATGTCACTCATAAAGAACTAATGGGTCACTCAAGTGTAACATGACACTCTTTAAAATTTTTAAATGAGATTGCCTATTATTGTGTGAGGTGTTGTTTATTTGTGGAAAACGAAAAATAAAGGAAAATAAAAGAGAGTGCGAAAATAGGTATACCTGTTTAATGCATATACAAAATACGCATATATGTTCTGCAAAGTTAACTCTTAAAAAAAGTAAAGGGAACTTAGATATTAAAACAATGTTAATCGTATGATATGATACATAGAACACAATGAAAATAAATTAATAACTTATTTGATGACGGTTTGAGGAGATTGGCAAAGTGACTTGTAACGAACGGAAACTAATAATGAACAAAATAAAAAAAAAACTATAAGCGAATGTGATTAATAAATCCATGGCTGTCGATTACTAGAAGCGTGAGACGTGAGTAGTTGTACGTAAAAAACAAAGTATGAACAAAAACGACGGACGCCCGCTGAGGAAAGGACGATGGCCGAACGAGGCAAGAAAACCTTCGAACAAAGAGTGCCAGGGGAGACACGAAGACGGGTATCAGAGATACCATACACTCTACCCAACACCAAGTTTTTACCTTACATAGTCAAAATTTGTGTGACACACAGTTAATGAAAGTTTTGTGGAAGTAAAATCGTTTTTAAAGCGTCGATATTTTCATATAATTTATTTTATCAATAATTATCAGTATTTACTTTTGTGGATACCACAGATAAAATGAAACTTCATCTTATCTGATAAAATCATCTGTATTTTTAACATACTCTCTCATTTTAGTGCCAATCTGATGAGAAATTCTTTTAATAATCCTGGATACAGTAATCAGATAAATTCCTATTAAATCACCACATACAACTTTTAATAATATTACATAAAACCGTTTTTAAAACAATACAATTTTTTACTTGATACAAAAATATAAATTTACCCGAACATCAAGTCAAAGACATTATCTTCAAAATTAAAAAAAAATTTCCCTATTTCTCAGTAAATGAGGGAAATTGCTCAAAAATTACAATTTTAAAAATCGATAATTTTAACACATTTTTTAAACTTAATTTACTTTAAACTGCCAGAACATTTTGAAAAATGAATGAATAAAAACAATTTTTTATTTATAGATACTATAAGTAATTTGAACCATTACCTACCCACGGGGGGGGTATTTAATATAACAAATTTTCCATCAAAAATTAACTTTTTCAACATAAATTTTGAAAATTTTCCGGAAATACTAATAATTTTATAAATACATATATATATATATATATATATTAAATTAAAGCTTATATAAATTTTTAATTAAAAAAAAAAAAAATAAGACCTTTGAACTTATTTTCGTGGAGAAAATTGCTACCGTATTCAAAAATACTCTATTTTTGTGTTATAATGCTTGTTTTTATATTTTACATTTTTAAATTTATATTACAATAACTTTTTAAAAAATGAATGGATAAATACAATTTTTTTATGATAAATATTTGTTTTATCCGACACATTTTTTTAAAATGGAACTGTTTTCCTTCATACAGAACGGGTTCCAAATTTTTAACACGCGTATAACAAGTATAAATTTTTTTTAATAATTGAAAAATTGAGAATAATATATTTTATTCAATTACATGTGTAATTGAATAAATTAAGAATAAAATTATAAGAATTATTTATTATTTAAGAGTAAATGACTAATTCATTATAACATAATCACTCTTTTTCAGGTTATTTTATATCTAATTGACAATGCCAGGAAATAAAGCATAAACTATTGAAATACATAATATGTTACTGAATAGTTTTTTTTACAGTAATATTATTACTGTAGTGTTATTTCGAATCAAACAATATTTTCCTTTACAAAAATGAAAAATATTCAATAGTTGCTAAGAAAATTAGTGTCTCGTCTTCAATCGATCACTATGTATACAGAGTGGAACAAATCTAATTGTATATAATACATGCTGTATATATACTACTGTATCCTAAATAACAAATCGTCAATAGAAAATTTGTCAAAAATCTCTAAACTTTAATAAGCAACTATAGAAATGTGGTTCATTAAAAAAATTTTTTATAGAAACAACAATTATTGAAAAATTTTTCTATCTTATCATTAAATAAAAAATAGTGGATCTCATAAAAAAATAATATGAATAAATTTCAACAATGAATAGTTCATAAAATTAATCAACTTAAAAATTATAGTAATTTTTTCGGAATTATCGGTTAAATTTAATATTATAGTTGGCTTAAAATTATTAATAAAATTAATATTTTATGAAAACTCAATTATTTATTTAGTAAATTCGTAATTAAAATTGTGAAACTCAATCTTAAATTTAGAATTTTTTTCGAGATAAGTTGGTTTTCATGTAAATCATCAGCGTATAATATTGAATAGTTTTTAAGGTACTTGAACAATACTAGTCTACAGAATGATCGATATGTCATACATTTTCTTGGAAACTATTAAAATCTTTTAAATTTTTAAAACAAAAAAAGTTGTTGAATACAAAAAACTACAGTACTATTAAGTTAAAAAATTTTGTTTCTATCCATTCGGTGTTTTAGTATTAAGCGTTAATGGTAATCCCTATTTTTAGTTTAATTAATTAGTTAGATATGATATGAACAAATTTCAATAAATTTTGTTGTAATATTATTATTTATTTAATGTTCTTCAGTAGTTGTTTGTTAAAGTTAAAAATCGATAAAAATTTAAAAAAAATTAGGAGTATGGGGGGATTCCTTTACTTCATTTAAAAAAAAATTAGGTTTCTTTGAAATGTGAGCCAGTATTATAACTCTTGTATAATATTGTATTATACAAAGTATTTAATACGTTGTGTAAAACGTAAAAGTATTATGGATATTATTTTAATACATAAATATATACTATTTACTTTTAAAGTAATTATTTAAATTTTGACATTTTGAAGCTTTTTGTTGTAATGTCCTATAAATTT